TGCTCTTCAGCAAAAGACCTTCTCTTCTGGACATCCGATCTTGTTCTTCTTTTACTTTTTAACCCACCATCAACCGTCGGCCATCACTAAAAAATATCTTGTTGTTATCATATTTTGAAAAGTACTGGAGAATTTTTTCTCAAATTCCTGTGAAGATTTTAATAAGTCTCTTATTGTGTCCTTTTGCTTTTAGGACAGACCAGAAAAGATGAAATGGCAGACAGGATTTGTCAGTGAAATTTTGTTTCTTGAGTACTTGATGGTTCTTACCCAAATTTTACATGAAGTCAAGTGCCCATATTGATTTTGAGATTGATTAGAAAAGCACAATAGTGACAGGTGGCACTCTCGGATTTTTAACAAAAAAGTTTTGTTATCCCTATTTCTTGAGAAGTACTGGCTGGATCTTTCTTAAACTTCATATGTAGGCTCTCATCGGCCCCAGTTGGTGCCATTTTAATTCCAAGACTGATAAAAAAAGATCAGTCCAAAAATGGGACAGTGCAGAACAAGGAACCAAGGGGAACTTACATTTGAAGTTTGATAAAGATCAATCCAGTACTTCTCAAGAAATAGTGATAAAAGAATTGATGGTTGGAGGACAGACCACTGACGCAGGGTAATTTGAATAGCCAACAATCAGATGAGTAAGTTATTCAGTTGTATGTCAGCTGTTTTGTTTTTTATTTAGTCTCTTTTCTAATCTGATGAAATAATACAACAGTAAACCTTTAATGGTTTCCAGGTGGTTTTAATAAGCTTTTATCCAGAAAATGATAACTGACAGACATGATTTCTTTTTGTAATACAATATATCCAGTTACTTCATCTCGCAGGGTTTCCACAGCTAATACAATATATCCAGGTACTTTGTCTCACAAGGTGTCCATAGCTAATACAACACTAGGTAAGCAACACTGAAAATGGCTTTTAGAAAGTACTTCTGTAATAAATTTGGTCAACATTTTACATAAATTCAAAAATGGCAGACCAGTTTGGATAACAAAGGCTCTGCAAACATTCTCAATGATAAACAACTTTTTAAAATTCCTTTTTATAGCCAGTGTATAGTGACTAAAATGCTTTGAATTACCATACATTTAGCTACATTGTATCCTAATCCAGGAATCGATTCTACTACATCAATTGTAGTGAATAATGATAATTTGGATTACTATGGAAACAATTGAATGATGTCACAGAGACCTAGGTGACCTGTGATACTAGGATACACTGTGTATACATGTGCAATGTCTCTTCATCATGTGTAAAAACTTTGTAATTCTTGACAATAAGTCTACATTTGTTCATAGCATCATATAAATATATATTGAACACATAAATAGCAGACATAGCAGGTCTCAGTTGATAGTAAGCAGAAATCAATCACCAGGATATTGGTTAAAATCCCCAAACCCTATAAAGCATGCTGGCTCATTACCTGAAGGACACCACCTATATTGCACTAATAAATAGTAGATAATTATAAATTTTTTGTATGCTAAATCTCACAATCAGGAAAACATCACCAATATGATATAAAACTAATAAAGCTACACTTACTTCCAGGAAAAGCTGTCAAACTTCAGCTTCTTGGTTATTAAACATTAGGATACTAGTATGACTTCTCCTATATAATGTGGCTAAGAGTAGTAAAGAGTCTGTTAAATGTTCACTGGTTTTCAATCACAGACCATGTTCATCCAAAAACAGTAATGTTATGCCAGTTAATTACTTTCTTATTAATTTCTTGCATTAAAAGTATTTTTTCTTTCCTGAACACTTCAGTATTAAATTCTGTTGATAAACACTTGTCTGCAAAGACTAGATCTGAATTTCTTATTTAAGCACTTGATACATAATAACTTGAGATAATTTACATTTTACAACATGTATAAGCCCTTCAACACACTACAAAAAACAAGAAAACCATTTAAACTTGTAAGTTTGCACTTCTAACGAAACTTAGCATTCTCCATGTTTTAATACTAAACTGATATATCCTTTAGTCATGATTTTTAATTTACGTCTCCTGGTCTAATAATTCATGATTGCGAGATTCAGCCACAGGTTTAAACTAGGCCATAAATTTGCCGTGTATTTGTCGCAGATGGTCCGGCTGTACATTAATGGGAATGAGGTCACCAGTGCCTGACTTTGTCGGAACGTTTATCCTCCCGACACAAACACTTTCAGCACTTTTCTCGTGTAACATCTGAAACAAGAACAACAAAATGTTTCACTTCTGACCTGGGACAGGAAAACAGAAATACAGTATAACTCATAAGATCAATATACAAGGGAAATAACAAAGGTAAGAAGAAATCAAAACAGAGCTATCTCAAATTTCTCAAGGGTTCAAATGTTCTTGGCTTTACCAAATGCTTGATGCAAAAGAGGTAAATTTTAGAGAGAAAAGTGAAATAGTGATTACTTACCCTCGCAAACTGGGGTGTAGGAAAGGTTGAGAAGTCAGTTCTAACTTGACCGCCTGTCCTGTTGGCAGCCAACAAGGTTGTCACCTGGACCTGGAGCTGTAGATCAAACATTTAACTGATAATAATAACAATCCATAGCCTTTTACTTTTTATAGACTTTGTATGATAGATCAAACATTTAACTGATAATAATGACAATCTGTAGTCTTTTACAGACTTTTTATAGACTTTGTATGACAGATCAAACATTTAACTGATAATAATGACAATCTGTAGTCTTTTACAGACTTTTTATAGACTTTGTATGATAGATCAAACATTTAACTGATAATAATGACAATCTGTAGTCTTTTACTTTTTATAGACTTTGTATGATACAGACTTTTTATAGATCAAACATTTAACTGTAGTCTTTTAAACATTTAACTGATAATAATGACAATCTGTAGTCTTTTACAGACTTTTTATAGACTTTGTATGATAGATCAAACATTTAACTGATAATAATGACAATCTGTAACTGATAATAATGACAATCTGTAGATCTTTTACTTTTTATAGACTTTTACAGACTTTTTATAGACTTTGTATGACAGATCAAACATTTAACTGATAATAATGACAATCTGTAGTCTTTTACAGACTTTTTATAGACTTTGTATGATAGATCAAACATTTAACTGATAATAATGACAATCTGTAGTCTTTTACAGACTTTTTATAGACTTTGTATGATAGATCAAACATTTAACTGATAATAATGACAATCTGTAGTCTTTTACAGACTTTTTATAGACTTTGTATGATAGATCAAACATTTAACTGATAATAATGACAATCTTTAACTGATAATAATGACAATCTGTAGTCTTTTACAGACTTTTTATAGACTTTGTATGACAGATCAAACATTTAACTGATAATAACAAACCTGTGTCTAAAGACTTCATGTTTACAGTATGTGTATATTTCTGATGGTTAAAGATAATTTATACTGCAGATGAAAATCAAATGGTGACAAATAATACCTCCTGCGTTTTCTTCTCAAGTAACGTAAGTTTGGCTGTCTTAGCAACCAACTCTCTAGCTGGGTTACTGCTGTCAGACACAGGTTCAACACCTGATAAAGAAACATGATTTTATGTTATCAATACAGGTCATGCCAATAGCAAATCAAGACATGAGTACATAGAGGATGTAAACAAGATGATACCATACACAAGTAGAATTTCCACAACCACCATATTTATCTTTCTATTGTAACTTTCTCACATTAAGGCACTACAGACACTAGTCACATGTAAATCAGTAAGTCAAGGCCTGCATGAAACAATTTCTGCTTGTTTGTTTATTGAGTTTATCGTCTCATGAACAGCCAGACTAATTTTGAGATCGGGGTCTCTTTGTAGCAGACAGCTACCCCAACAAACAGCATTCAGGAGGTTCACTGCATGACTTGATCAAGGACACAACCATGAAAGTAAGGATGGTTGAACCACACACCTAGGGTCTTTATCAAAAGTTACATTAGTCCGACATCCTACCAAGAATAACTCCCAATGGTAAGGATGGTTGAACCACACACCTGTGATGATTATCACAAGTTGCATTAGTCTGACATTAAACAGACTGAGCTATCAGAGTTTATAGAGTGAAGTCTATCAAATGATGATAAATTGGTTAGAGTGAAGACTACTACCATAATTCTAAGTCATAAGAATAGCTGTCCATGATTTAATGATGGGCAACACTATTTACATTGTTACTGTTATTTTCTTTCTCTATGGAAGATAATTGATCAGTTCCAACACAGCAAGATAAAAGACATAGCAGATTGAACTGTACCTGGTTTTCTTTTTGTTATATCGATAACTCTAGGACAAGCAGACAACATATTGACTTCCATGAGAAGTTTTGATGTCTCCTTAGCCAGATTTCCTATCTCCAGTTTGCCTGACATCCCATCAGGGAGCTGACCAATCTTAACAGATCCAACATTGCTACTGAGACCCACTGGCTTCTTAGGAACCTGTAGAGGTGGTAACATGGCCATCTTCTCCTGAAAACATCATTTCAAAGGATTACTACTGCTGTCATCATAGTTCTAAAAGTTAAGTGCAGTTTATCCAAATATAGTATACTCTATCTGTTTTGTTAGAGATTGAAAAAATAAGGTCAGATGTCAGCAAGTAAGGACAGAATGATTGAATGGTGGTGAATGTAAAGGTCACCCACAAAAGTTGGTTCGAGCTGATGAATGTTGAGCCCTGATAGTATCATAAAAGACAAAAGAGAGAGGTTTGGAAATCTGACCTTCATCCTATCAGCCTGTAGACGACGGTTATCTTGTTTGGTGAAATTCAGCGCTTCCTTCAGAGAACTTATCTGTGGAGAAAGTAAAGCATTCCGTGAGTGATAAATAATTAAAAGGAAAGTGATACTATTTATTAATCTCGTGGTCAAATAGAAAAAAAGTTTAATATTAAACTATTGTATAAAAAATACACCACCTACCTGCTGAAGAAGAACAGGTGACTCATTAACTGCTGTCATAGAGGACAAACTCTGACTGCTTCCAACTGTCAATTAAGTATAATACAGTCACACAAGAGACAAGTTATTTTCACTCAGTGAGATACCTGTGGCCTTTGATTAATCATCAAATTCATACTTGTTTTTCCTGACATATTACAATGTGTACTAAGGTGAAGACTTGATTCTAAATGATTACATATCAGGTATATAAACACATTGATCCTATAAATGTTGTTATGCTGAAAGGAAAGTAAATCTACATCCTGATTTATTTAGCTCAATACATTTACCAATTGTTAACCATACTTGTTCTAAAAGTTTTCAAAGGATGTGTCTTGTTACTCTATTGACCCAGATTTAGACTGCACTGACCATGTATTATCTTTTACTTGGATTTAGATTTGATATCTTTTCGTCTCTGACCTAAAGATTTAGGTTGTGGTGACCTTGTTTCATCTCTGACCTATATATTTAGGTTGTGGTGACCTTGTTTCATCTCTGACCTATATATTTAGGTTGTGGTGACCTTGTTTCATCACTGCCCTAAAGGTTTAGGTTCTGAGGACCTTGTTTTATCTTTGACTTCAATTTATATTGTGGTGACCTTGCTCCATCTTTGACCTTGAGTTTGAGGCTCGAGTGACCTTATTTCATCTTTGATCTATATATTTATGTGAACTTGATACTGTACATTGCACACCCTCTGTGGGTATTATAAATAACTCCAGTTTAAAAAGACATCAACACTGTTGTACTTGACTCATAGCCTAAACAACATATAGATTTTTTGCACTCTTTAATTTTAAAGATATTATAAGACAAGTCTCTCCCTCTACTTCAGGAGATAATGCAATTTAATTTGTATCATTTACCTCAAAAGAAAAAATCTGACATTTTAAAATTGGTTGTTTGATACTTAAATCATTATTATAGCTATATATCCTATTTCTGCAATATATCAAGGCTCACATCTACCAGGGGACTGAGAAATTCTTAGCTAAATTACTCTATAATCAACAGGGGTAGGAAACATCTGTAGTAGTCTGTTCCCTTATATTTACAGCTATCATTAAGGTTTACTGAACAAGCACTATGATAAAGCATCTAGCCATGCAAAAAGATGGCCATCTCTTGATATTTAGTTAATAAGGTGTAATGTATATATGGAAGATTGTACTTTGCCCAGTATAACATATGAAGCTTCCACTATCTACATGTAAAACCATTGTTGTTCTTTATCCAGATGATAAGCTATAAATTTTCATAGACTTGAAGTTTAACGGATGTTATCACAAAAACATGATTATACATGTTTATATGATAATTACAACAAATTAAAGGGTTTTATCAATAACAAGCATGCAGGGTTTGAAACATCATAATTTTGAATTACTAGCCAAATCCGCATCGCTAATATGTCACTGCAGTTTGACACTACAGTAGCGTACCAGGTTCTATCAACAACCATCAGGTACACTTCATTTATCCTTTCAGAAAAGATGACATGACCTGTGACATTAAACCTGTGACACATTACCTGTGACACATGACCAGTGACACATGACCAGTGACACATGACCTGTGACAGATTATCAGCGACCACACAAAATGTTATTATAAGTATCATTAAACATTTTCTTCTTCTATTTACCTTAATGATAATTTATTAGAACACAAGCAGTTAGAAGTTGGTGGTGCTTTGGTGACAAAGATCTGTCACCTTCATCAGACAGAGAATATATGGTGTGTGTCATGGGTCAGACAACATAAACATGATTTACATGGTCACAAAAAATCATACCATCATGCACAGAGATAAATAAAATTGATATATCAGCTGGAAAGCTGCAAGGAAAAGCAAGGATTAAAAATTATTGTCAAAATGAATTAATGTCACAAAGCAAATACTTCACAACCAGTATCTATATTTCTTCAGTCAAACTTCCATCAGCTGGAAAAGCATGCCTCAATCACCTCTACATCGGGCTGGCTACCAATATGTTGCTAGACAAAGCATCATCAGGGACATAACTAACATCATGTACATGTAATTATGGACGTCATGACATGACTTCAAATTTTTCAATAATAGCACGATTTTAAAATCTCTGAAGTGAAATATAAATCATATGGTGGAGAATGGACTTGTTGTGAGGTTCACTTAAATGTTTAGGAAAAATTCAATTTGAAGTATTAATGTTCCAGACTAGCCGTCTTAAGGGAAAATTTAACAAGACAGACAACAAGTGATGTGCAACAACATAAGCTTAAAATCAGGTATACTTAATATACACTTTTGGTTGGAGTACAAAGCTTTGCGGTCAAAGCTTTAAAAAGTTGTTCACATTAATCTGTATCTCTTAACAACCAATCCCAAACAGTAATGACTGATAGCAAATTGCCAAAGCTCTGGCAATTCAACAGGTCAGTATAGAAGGTTTTAAAATCAAATTAACCATTGTATACGATGATCTTCAAATGGTTTTATTTTTTGTTCCTGGTTGCATTCCCTGTTCAATACCACAGCTTTGAATGTATGAAATAGAGAGAAAAACAATGTATGTCAATCTTACTATTTAGATACAAAACAATAATGCATTGCAAAATGATTCCTTTTCCCATGGATGTGCGATTTGTTACAGACCAGTTGTGCTGAAAGCAACCTTGAAGTGCAAATTATACTGTCCTGAGGCAAAAATAAGTTAGAAGTTACTGTAGTACACCCAGAACAGCAGGAATCCATCATGTGTAAACAATAAACTTTGATTCACTTAAAATGTCTTTAAATTTGGATATGACATGACAGGTGCTCTACAAGGTTGAGTAATGTTTTAATTATAACTGATAGTCTTCTACCCATGATGAACAGATTCCTGATCCCACTGAAGTGACTAGCAAACCAATTTTCACAACCTGTCAGAATACTTCACTGTCAAAACTACTTCTTGTTACATTTTTTTTTACTAAATCTGTGACAGAATAAGATTTCAAATTCAAGTATCTTCAAAATATTTAAATCAAAAGTGTAAGATTACTCTGACTTTGTAATCAAGTTTTTGTAAAAGATGACAAAGAAAAGTAAAGTTTGATAACCGGAAAATGCATTTGCAATATTGATCTGGTATAGTTACAGAATGGTCTGATATAGTTGCGAAAAAACAATGATTTTCATGAAACAAAAAAGTAGTTCATTATTAACCCCTAGAAATACTCTGATTCTGACAGACTATGAGAGAACTAGCATATACTACACAGAAGCCAAATTAATCTCTCTTTGTTTGGTTAATATTGCTACTAAATCATCAACACATACACTTGTCTAAATATTATATTCACAAATGTATATACTAATGTTTGTATGTTAATATCTATCAATAGACTTGATGCAAAAACTAAGGAATGATTTGAACCAATGTCAAAATTATTTGAAGCCAAAGATTTAATATTTCGACACCAAGAATTTCTTTGATTTTTCTGTTAAAAAAATGGATTGCTTTATATTGAAGACATCTTTTCTTGGGTGAAAATTAATGTCATAACTATGAAGGAATAGTATGAAAACAGTGTTAAACTATACAAGATGAACTTGGCTGCAACATGTGATCGATGTTTCAGTAATAGCAAACAATCCCAAAAACCAAGCCAGAACTGTTAGCAGATACACCGACATGGCTGTCTCTTCTCACCAGTCTGGCCCGCCTGTCGAGATATGCCCTCCAGTAAAGTTTTCTTTGACAGTATCTTCAGTCTCTCCTTCAATTCTAACTTCTCCTGTTCGAGTGTATCAATGTCTGACTGCAAAGTATCCATAGTTTCCTCAAACTCCCTAAAAACGACAAAATTTAACAACAAAAATGAAACTAAAAATGAAACAGAAAATAAAACAAAAAAAACTAAACACATACACAAACAAATGTGTATTACCAGTTTGGAAGTGAACAAGTCTGGTTTTCTCCATTTCCAACACATCAATGTCAGACTGGAGCACATCCATGGTTTCCTCAAACTCCCTACAACATACACATGGGTTAATACACACTGGCTACTTCACTGGATCAGGACTCAGCTCCTTACATTGGTTCCCAAGACAAGATCATTTTACTGTTAGATAAATTCTACCACATTTAATTTTCAGTCTATAAAACCAGATCTGGGTTTTACATAAAATTGTTGTATAGTAAGGTCACCAGGTGTAAGTGAAATCCTGGGTTATACATTAAATTGTTAAATATATCAAGATTTCACTAGGTATAAGTCAGTTTGTGCCTCACAGAGTATGTCTGCTGTTCTAATATGACATGTTTCCTGATAGATTTTCTATAGGTTAACATACTGTAAAATCATTCATTTTTGTGGGACATTTATTGTAATTAATTTTGATGGTACTTTAAAACCATGAATTTGTACTTTTAATCCATGAAATTATCTCTGGCTGTATTTATCTTTCGCTGAGAGAAAAAGTGACCTTTGCATGATTACATTGTCTAAAGTATGGATAGCTTAATACCTGCAAAAAAAAAAAAGAAAAAAACTGTTCCATCATGTACTACAAAGTGATGCTAATGTGACGTCATCACAGCCAAAGGAATTTTATTCATAAGTTCAAGATGTGACATCACACAAGATCTCCATTTTCTCCAAATGCATCAAAGATAATTTCTAAACTATGTAAATATGTGTGAGTTATTTCGGGAATTGGCAACGGAGGTAATATGATTTGAAATTGCTGTTTGGAGATTAAAACTTCCCAGGCATTGACTGGTCATTTTTCAACACAAAATCTAGCGAAATCATTAAGGATTTTATACATTCATAGAGATTGTACGTGATAGTTTCATGTATGACATGTGAAACAGCCAGTTGTGATATTCACAAAATAAGCCCAGACAATTTTTTCCCAACAAAACTTCATTTCCTTTAATACAGCAAAAACTGCTATCAGAATGTATAAATTGGAAAAAAGTATCAAAGCATGTCATAATTTTTGGAATAGATAAAATACTAATGTAAATATTCATCATTATCCCACAATACAGATACCAGGTAAAGCCATTTCCTTATGAAAGCTGGAGAATTAAATGAGCTGTTGAGAGACTGCCATAAAAATCATTTGATTCCGCAGCTGCAGGTTAAGGATTCCTGTAACAACCCTGAAATGTTGTTTCAAGGTTTCCGGGATTCCATGTTTGTTGTCACAGATAATCTGTTAGAAATTCTACAAATCATACAGGTGGTATCCTTTGTAATAGCTACCTCTGTAAACCTTCGAAAAGATGTCTGACCTTCTGGTCAGAGATTTTTACTTATAAGTACTGTTACAGTGTATATGTTAAGGTAATCAATCTTAGAATATTGGTTGCAATGTAATTATTACAAAGTTAATCTGACAATACTTTATGTTTTTAACACCCAATGTCCTACATTAATGTGCCACTGTATCAAATAGCCATTTTCACTATCAAAATACAAAAACTCTTGTTCAAAAGCAAGTATTAATTATAAATTTGATCTGAAATACACCACGAAATCAGATATCAAATATCACATTACATTGGCCAGAAACATTTTTTTTAATAAATATCAAATATTTCTAAAAGCAGACTTTTATCCTGTTTTGGAATTTTTTTCTAAAAATAGAAAGTTAACAGATAAAAATAATATCTAAATCTACCCACTTTTCCTTTTTCTTCATTTGTAATTGGACTTCATCTAGCTTGCGCTGCATTTTCTCTACGCGTTCGTCACCGTCCCTTGTAGCATTGTCCAACTTTTTCTCCACCAGGTTCATTCTCACCTGCTGTTCACTGAATTCCTCTTGCTACAACATGTACGAAGAGTTCTACGTCAGACACCACAGTGAAAAGGTTATTCCAGCATTAAATCAAAATGACTCACAAGATATCAACTAAATGAAAATTGAAAAACATTTAAACCAACACCAAATTTTAAGCAGAGTCCTAGACTCTCCATCAACTAGCCAGTCTTTCCACTAGAATGGTATTTCATCTAATGTTCAAAACATACTACCAAACATTGTCCAGGCTAACTATATTCTTGAACACATAATGTTAATTCTCACTATAGATTCTAACCTGTCTTGAAATACCATGAGAAGACATGCTGGATTGTATTACTAGGGAATATATTGACTTCATCTTAGCGAGTTTAATTTGGGACACTGACCTTTATCTTGACATTTTAACTAAGTACACTGTCCTTCATCTTAACGATATTAACTACGGACACTGACCTTCATCTTGATGAGCTTCTTAAGTTCCTTGATGTCATCTTCCTTGCTCTCCAGCTTGAATTTCATTGTCTCTATGTCAGCAATCTGAGACCTGACAGTGTTGGCACGAGTCACCACTGGCTGTGGGGGCTGGGTAAAATCAATGTCAAGGTCAATTTAAAGTCCAATGAAATTAGTGGAAATTTATAAAAAATTAATGCAAATTACAGGGCAATTATTTGTTGAAATACATGAAAACATAACAATTTCAATTGACATAAAATAGTATGATCATGACCATTGCAGTAAATAAATATTGGAGTTGAGTTGAGGGTAGGCAAGGGAAACAATTTCAGGAGCTTCCATCATTATATAAATTTGCATTTCCGTAACCAATTATATAACAACTGATGCAGTTCTTTATTGTCAGTAAGGAAGGGAAATATGTCACACATGAAATGTCGCATAATGGTAGCAGATAGTATAAACAGGACACCCAGTTCTACATTGTCACCTGTTTGTCTCTTGTTCCGTCGAAGTCATATTCTCCATTTTCCATGGCATTGGCAATCTTGTTCATAGTACCAACCACCTGACCAAATGATATCCTGTCAACAAAAACAGAGCAATGTAAATAGAATTTTACATATCACTACCACTCAGAAATGTTCAGTATTTCTGTAACTATACTGTCACCTTCACAATAAAGGATATGCATGTTAGGGCTCAAAGTGTACAGTATAACACACAAATAAGCATTCCCAATCTATTTTAATCATCTGTCTTTAGATAAATGTATTAAATGATGATTCAGTTACTTAAGCTGCAGTTTAAATGTATGCTGATGTAAACTATCTATAAAATAGTCCATGAAACTTCAAACATTATTTACTTGTGCCCTTTTTACCTGCTTTGATTATCTCCCTTACAAAACTTTTCACCAATGTCATGTGATAATTCAGTATTTACACTGGAGGATGTAGTACATGTTATCTCATAAAGCTTTCATAGTGCCTACTTTACCAAATTTATCATACACAAAATAAATATTACAGCTGCACTATCCCTCTTTTGTAAACCAAACATACATCCTTAAATCTTATTGTACATCAGTAAGTGATCAGCATGGCTATTGTTTTAACGAAGGGAGGCAATTCTTATTTACTTTGTGCACTCGTAGGGCCCATTATCATCCTTTCCATAGACTTTGTCTGAAGCCTCATATGCAATCTCCTCCATCTTCTTTGGCATCAAACCCTCAGCATCTGTAGCCAGATAAAGGTAAATCTTCAGTACATACTTTCTTACTCAATACGACTTATATATCTGTATAAATAGAATCAAAACTAAAGATCAGAAACACATACTTCAATGTAGATTTAAATGTTTTCTTTTGCCTTTTTGTTTCCCAATAGACAGAGAAAATTATTTCTGAGGATACAATGTTATTAAGTTGTGTATCGATTGAATCTCTATTTAACTTCCATTTTAAGTCGCCTTTCATGCATTTACAAGCATTTCATTCTCATATATGCAGATCTATGTAAGCCATTAAGCTGAATGGTTAAGTCATAAATAAGATCAGGATTCAAGATTAGAAACATTTTTTATACATGTTTCTACATTTCAGTGTAAATATTTCTATTAAATTTATCTGTAGTCTATCTATTTTATACTTAACAGAATTACTATTTTTGATTATTTGTTTACCCACTTATACAGATTACATATTTCAACAAATGATATTAAAACCTCAAAACAGCAAATTCAAACAAAACAAAATAAATTGATATTAAAGACTGGAACAAAAAAGAATCTGACTTATTTTGTAAGTAAAGAAAGTAAATATACAAAACACAAACATTGTTTGACCTTTGTATAAAAAAAGTTTTTTAATTGTTATTTGTCCTAATTGATCAATAGGTCACAGCACACCTAAGTCAATCACAAATCAGTAATAAACACAAATCTCAGTATTAGTGTGTTGGTTTTAGGGGGTAGTCTTTGAACTTAATATCATATAAGTATGAAATTTGAAACATGTCACTTAGTTCTGATGCAATTGTTTAAGTTTTCACAAGAAACATTTCAGATGAAAGTACTTTTTTTTTTTTTTACAATTTTTTATGTTTTAACACAAGATGGAAATCTATATCATGTGACTTATTTTAGATGCATTTGTTGAAGTTTTTAGAGGAAACATTTTTGGTAAGAGGTACCAGGTACATCTTTTTTATACAGCTTTACATGTCCAATGTTTGTTGGCAGACTGTTCCACAAATTTAAGTATTTTTTCAAACAAACATTTTAAAACATGAAATTAGTGTTCAAATAACTGCACCAAACATGTTAATCATCAAAGATTCTGTCACACAATGTTACCATTGGCTGTCTTCCTCATCCACGAGAATGACAATGTCTCTAAAAATGAGTCATGCATTAAAAACAAGTTAATATAAGTCAAGTAGCTCTGTTGACCTGTAACACTGTACCAAGTAAAACTTGAATTATGACCTGTATGGGTGGTTATTTCATTGTGATTAATTCCTCATCACTGCTTGTTAGCTTAAAATCCATTTATGGTCATGAAGTAATTATGATTTAATTGATATAAATGTTTATCAAGATGTTTCTATTATGTTTTTACAGCTTGGGGTGTCCATTACATAGTCATGGAGTGATCCTATGGTTCCAGACATAACAACTTCCTTAATTGGGAATACACATGCCTGATATACATCGGAACTTGAATTGTTATCTGACTACAGTCATATCAGCAGAAATCACACTGCTAATAGCCTGACTAATGGCATTCTGTGTTCTGAAATCTAAAGGCTACTAAAGGGTGAAATAGATGCAATCTAATACAAAAATGAAGAAGAAAAAAAAGGAAACATGAATACATATCAAATGCTATTTGATCTGATACTAAGCCAGCTGACTGTACAGGAAACAGGATGCAGCTTTCACTTGAAGCATGCATAACTATCTACAAACAAAACCAAAGGAAAACATCACAATTTATACAGCAAAATAAGCAAAAACATTGCAAAAACTAAAGACACTTGCAATTCACTATGAAGTTATTTTGATTGATATGTAACAAAGATGACTGAGGTAAAGCCCAGTCTAATTAGGATAGGCAGGTTCCATGACTTTCGGCTTTAGCCGTCCCTGGTAGAGACAGAGGTCATAAAGTCATGCAATGATTTATATATGGATTATTAAGAGCAGAAAGTAGCATTACAAATTATTACCAGAGATCATTCTTAGAAACAGTAAAATAAACTGCTTTATGACATCACTTCATTTGTGAGGTATTTTTATCCTAGAATAAACATGTTGGTTCTTAGTTTTAATATTTTCTGTCTGACTCAGCTTTTGGTGGTTATTTTGATTTTGACATTGTCTTCCTTTCATTCAATATCATTCTCAGACCCATTATAACAACATATTCACCCCAAGTAAAGTCCATATTTGTAGATTATCAGCATGTGTTAGCATAGTATTTTAGGTCCTGAGTAAATGTTGGTTATGGGATAACATGTTTTATCATAGAATTGCTCAATTATCTAGTAGGTATACACATCTCTATTATAGAGTTGCCTGGTTATTATGTCAGTACACACATAAATGTCTTGTTTTTACATGTAAAACTTTATCTTAAAAAACTTATGACATCTTACACTTACAGTTTATATTACAAAGTTTCAATGGAGACGATAAATATAGAGCAATGATTTTTTCTATTTGACGCAGCAAAACTATTCTTCTGTATTAAAAGTGTTCTTATTTATGTCCAAATGGACTTAACTGAAATTGTCACAAATTTTCATTTTAATTTGCCAGAAGTTCAATAAAATATCCAATGTTTCACTTGTATCCTTAATTTCTGTGTGAAATAAAAACTTATTAAAGAGCCTGTGTGTATTTTGATTGATATCTACAAGTATTTCTTCCTGACTGAAACTCTCGGACACAATAACCCTATCACAACAAGTTTATAAACATACAAGCTGCATATCAGCATATCCAGATAACTAGGTGTCCTCAGATAACACCCTTTTTACATTATTAGAGACATAAATTTCACCAAGATTTTCAAGACATTAAGTTGGAAGAGTTTTTTATGTGTAAGGTCACATGATCAGGTTTAAATTCAACAGCAGCGATTTTTAAATTTTTTAAACAATTTTTCTTCTTTTTTTGTTTTGAGTTGAAACATTCAGAGGAAAAGCCGACATTTATGACTCCAACCAATTTGATCCTGTTAACAATAACACCAAGATCATCCGACGTTGCAGATTAGAATGTTATAGCTTCCTTTTTACCACAAATCTTATAATTTCAAACAAAGAATTTAATACTCTGTGCATTTGTAAAATGGTGTAATTGGTAATCCATGTCTCTAATAACAACAGTGTTATAGGAAGGACGTCAGACAGAGTCAGTACACTGGAGTGTACAGAGGTCCAGGACTCACAGTCCATACAAGACAGTTTGGACCGACCAAGCTGTGATAGATTACCCTTGAAGTTTTCCAAATCCATTCGCCCACCTATAGTGTCAACAAACAAAATCATCAAACTCAACAAAGCATGGAATATCATCAGGATAAAATAAATAAAACAAGTAATATACCTCAGCACAATAGGCAGGATTTCACAGGGATATGTGTTTCTTCATTGTGTGTTTTATAACCATCAGCATCTCATGTATAATACAATAGACCTGGATAATATTTTTGTTATCTGATATGTCAGTTTGATGAAGAATATGTGACGTATGTGAACAGATATAACACTATGTATCACTTGACAGCTTTGTCCATGTATAAGTCAACATCTACTTATTAACTTATCAAAGCATTTCATTTCGACACAGAAAATCTTATCAAATAATGTGAAGTGTGGAATATTTATATGCATGATTTAGGCAGTAAAACTATAGACATGACATAGAGTAAAGGAAATCTGGTATAAACCTGAACTACACATTGGTCAAGTTCACTCAAACTGGCAACAGCTGGTGAAAGTGTATATCATTTACACTTTATTATAACCATGTGATGAAGGAATATTGTAATGATTCAGAGACAAATGTAATCCAGTACTGTTGGTTAACCATAAAATATTCAGAGCCTGAAAATATTAGCACTGCAGACATAGAGGGAAAGGTATCAAAGTCAATCCTGCATATTATCTTGAAGATCATCTGAAAAAATACAGGTAAATAACTGGCATTAAAATCACAAGATTGTAAGCTGGATGTGTAAATTCAACACAAACCATCACGACACTGTACAAATCTGTAAGCTATAACACAGCATGGTGGGAGGAAATACTGCTGGCTGGGTAGACAAACTGGTAAACATTTGTACAGGTAAACAATAATGTACATAAACAATAATACAGGTAGGGTAAAAGTAAAGGTAACAAATGATAAACAGGTGTTCTAATTGAGGTTTACAACAATGAAATAGATAGGTGATAACTATTGTGTGCCCTCCATGTCTTATTTCATTGATTTTTATCAGAAATAGATTGAGAGATAGCAAGACATGTATTGTAAAAAAGAAAATCAAACATGCCATTCACATAAATATTCTTTATCAACTATATTAATACAATTAAAATATTAGGACTCCTTCATAATTAATCTTTTATCAGGAGTTAGCTCCCCTTACTCTTGATCTACATTGCTTACATCAAGGGGCTCTAATTCACTCCTAAGGCTATATGAAGAACATTATGTATAGAATGATTATGGTGAATACCAGCATATTTTGTACCTTTTAATTTTTTGTATTTTCTATACACATGACATATCTATAAGGATATCATTTTACAGGTTATTAGTGAAGGTTACAGTATATGTATATTATAGTAAATGCTACACGATGTCTGTATGGTCCAACAGGAGAGATTATTGCACACAGTTTACTCATTACTTTGCTAGGGCGGGAAGGATATAAAGGGTTTCATACATGCATTCTACAGTAATAATGATTCCAAGAGTACATTTTATACCAACTAAGCTGAACATAGCTGTAGACAACAGTCTTGTTTTTATCTTAGAGTTACTAGTTTTGTTTTGAAGTCGGGTAATTTTGGATATCCCTGAACCCTAATACATATATGATTCACAGAAATCAACATACATGGGGATGGTCATGCTCCCTATTACTAAACCATTACAGATCAGTTACATCTGCTTCTCAACATATTGAAATGGTCATGTAGACCAAACTACAAATGAGTTCACTTGGTACATACTGGGAAATTTGATTTACTAAAAGTTTCCGAGTTTGTGGTTATGTAGGAGGTAGTTTTCCTCCTCCATTTGCTGTAAATAAAAAATGACATAATTGTGAATCCAATACAGATGTACCGGCAATTAGATTTTATAAACCCAATACCACTTGGCCTTATTGGAAGAACATATAAGAAAATATTAACTAACAACAATGTAATAAAACAAATATGTCCTTTTGTTATTGAGAAGTAGGTATGTCATGCTTGGGTGATGATCCATTTAAGGGGGTGAGTGTTAATACAGCGTCCACGGAGCCACAGATGTCAGTAACCTCTATAGGTATGCTGTCCTATGTCACCATCATGCATGAAACGTAACCACATACAGCCACCCGATCCACTCCAGTACATCATGTTGTATTCAGGCAAGTCCCTTAATCAGGTTATTATTGTATCTAAGCCAGTTATTAGTGCATAATTCAGTAAATATAAAAATGTTGACATGGTATCCATGTAATACCTACCAGACATGGTTTCTAATGGAAAACACAACATATATCAGGTCAGATACCATATCATTCTGCCCTGCTCAGTCATTTATTGTATGTATAAGCATATCATTACTGACACAAGATTTTACAAAATCACTAATGATAAAGTTACCAGGCTATCATATCTAAAGTAACTCTTTAGTATTCTTGAAAAAAAAAAAAATTACCATGTTTTTCGGGTTATAAGCCACAGTTGATCCACATATTAGCTGCACCGGAATATAAGCAACACCCTTTCTTACGATGTGGTAACTGTTATGTTGACTAAAGTTTGTTGGTATAACAGACATGAGAAGGCAATTTATTGAGGTTGTCAATGAAACATTTAATAAAGTTTGCAAATGAATACATATAACCTTTAAATTTTATTGATGTATTTCAAAAAACTTGACTTAGGTGCCTTCATGGATTGTCTACGCAGATATACGGCCCGATGTTACATAAGGTTTACTAAACAATCTCTGTCAGTATCTGTGCTGCCAAATCTTAATGAAGGCTCTTGCATGCTAAACAAAATTCTTATAGTCCCATATTATTTCTTCTTGTAAGTTACACGAAGCCATTCTTATCATAAACAAGCATGGTGGTCATTCTAGAATTTGACCTATTACCCAATGACCTATTGATCACAGGATGCAAAAGGCTATTGTAAACTTCCGCTTTGGCTTCGAAGTAACCGCGAAAGTCAAGAAGATATTGTGATTCATATTAACAGGTATGTTTAATTAAATCCACAAGAATGTTACTTTTATTTCAATCTTCAAATCATTCTGTAGACGATTGCAAATGACGATTCTACACACTTCTTTCAGACAAAAACATGTGAAAGGCACACTCGAACTGGTGTGCTTCCTGTTTCGTTTTTTTCATCCTGTCAATTTTTTTCTCCTCCACATATATGCCAAGCCCGTATATAATCCACATGCTTGGCTCACGAGGAAAAAAGGTGCAGCTTATAATCCGGAAAATACAGTAATCGGACTGTAGCGAAAGAGATTGCTTGGTTGGATTTTAATTCTCAGGAAAGGAGTAAGACCCAATACTAAATTAAAACTGAAGAGAAAAGTTACCGAAATAATTCCAGGTAGATAACAGAAATTATTCCAATTCATATATCCACAGTCCAGTATGAACAAAATTAATAAAAAGAAAAGGAAAAAAGGTAGTATAAATAAATGCCAGTACCTAAAAACTGAGACAAATGTTCTGTCAATTCCTTAACTTTGTGTTTATTTTGTATCATAATCAAATTTGGGAAAAGCAAAAAAAGAAAATAAACAAGAACAAGGGGACTTATCCTATCTATATGACTTTATGTTGGTTTGATCAAAATTGGATGTATTAAACAAAATATAACAAATAATATTGTGATATACAAAAAATGGTCAACACAGATTAAGGTAAGAAGGGACAACCAGAGGAAGGAGAGATGACCTACCAGTGAGAAGAGCAGCCTGCTGCATCGCACCTGAAGCTGTCTGCTGGAGAGTCTTGGCCACACAAGTGATGTTTTTACTACAATCTCCCAGCAAAGACTTTATCTGAAACCATCCAATATTACAATGTGATAACACCAGTAATTGTTTCTACATGGGGGTGCAAGTGTTTTTTGGGCGTGGACAAAGGTGTTCTTATGCGTGGATGAGGGGCAGTTTTTTTTTAAAGTGTTTGAGAGTGTCTCTGTAAGGTACTTAAGATAGTACTGGGAACAGAGTTGTTTAAATTGAGGAGAAATATTTCTTTTCATAGCAAAGTGTTCTCCTTTTATAAAATGTTTCAACAACCATCTCTATATATAATTACTTCATGTACCCAAACTTTTTTTTCACCACTTGGAAAATCACATAGGGTTTTATGGTATAAAGTATTCTCAATTTTTGCTGGTGATTCTTACTACAATTGTCAACATCACTGCCTATATTTACCTCTTTACTGAATGTCAGCGGCATAGCAGCTCCGTCTCCCTGTGGTAGTCGCCGCTTCACCTGGATAATGATAACAGTCATTATGTTATACTGGGGGCAAGTCCTAGTTTCCTAGTTACTGTAAACACCTAACTCTAATACTTAAAGGATGTATATTCTGCACCAAAACCTCAATAATAAAGAGGCATATATTCTGTACAACAGGAGGCCTGCTTGAAAGTGGGTCAAGGTCATTATCTTGAACAAATTTGGTAGCCCTTCACCCAAGCATGCTATAGTCCCAATATCAGAACTCTGGGCCTTCTGGTTATTGAGAATATGTCAAAAATTTAAATTGTTTATAATGGACAAAATGTGATTACAATAGGCCACTTGAGCTTTGTCTTAGATGACCTAAAAATAATAATATTAAAAGTATGTATATTCTTTACAAAAACCTTAATACTAAAGAGGTGTATATCCTGTACGTAATCCCTAATACTAAAGGGACTTATATTCTGTACCAAAACTTCAATACTAAAGAGGTGTATATTGAAATCAACTGTTATTTTCTTTTTTTCTTCACAGTTTTATTCCATACTTGAAAATAACATCCTTTATAATATCCTTCATAAAAAGACATGAAATTCCTATCCAAAGGAACTCCAGGCCAACAGATCTTTATTTTATTAACCTACACATACCTTCCTTGCACACATACGAGTGTCGCTGTTACAATTTTCCAAGTCTTTCAGCAGTATAGAGATCTGAGTCTGTTCCTGTCCGGGCTACAATGAGGATAGAATTGTTAATACACATGTACTGGACAGTGAATCATGAACAAATTCTTCCACTAATAAATATCTGTTGTATCATATATACCTTCTTAATAGTGTTATGTTACAGTTACATAGACTGCCTTCCTCCAAAATTATAATTTTCATTTGTCACAACTTTCAGGAGAGCAATGTCAATGCTATGTTTGGTATAAATGTATGGTTCATTACCTGTAGAAGAACTTTCAGGCGAGCAATGTCGGTGCTGATACAGTCACAAGCACTAAGGACAAGTTTGGTCTCATTGGCCATCAGAGAGGTACAGTCAACCTTTTCTGTTACTAAGTGTACAGCATGTAGTTGCTGAAAATAATGATCAGGTATGAGTGTTACATAAGTCCAACAAATTGTTTATACTGAACTTATCTAACACATGGTAGGAGATATACTTTCTATCTAAACATACTTTGACATGCACGATGAAATATAACTATTGCAAATTTATTGTAAAATAGGACCAATCAAATAATAGAAATGATCCTCAATTTCTTTCACTAATTTGATAACTCAAATCTTAATGAATGTGTAATCACTTATATTCATTATTCTCAAAAAATAAATACTTATGGTACCACTCATCAGGTTCTCCCGAAGACAGAAGTAGCTTCCACTCTTCAGTGACTGGACAGTAAAACCATCTATTATATAATATATTCAGTTTCCTAGATATGTATCCTTTATCATTCTGCTAACTAAGTATTTTGTTAGTTTAGCCTATGGATAAATACTTTTTCCCACCTTCACGAGCTAAGTAATCTGGGTTGTAAGCCTTGGCTTTCAAAGATGTGTTTAGACTAATATAAAAGGCAGAAATGTTAATAAGGATCATTTCAGAAATCAAATTGACACAATGAAACTCACCTGAAAGTAGCTAATGGATTTCTCCAGAAGATCTAACGAGATGTTCTCATCAAGCTGAAACAAACACCAACAACCATACTGAAGAAATTGATAGTTCTCAATTTAAGTTTAGGTCTTAGACTGAAAGATACTTTCACTAGATCTGTTTTGTGACTTCTCCACATAATAAAACCAAGTTCTTCTCCTCAAGCTTAGCAAAATTTATCATTATGGTTTGATATTTTTCTAAATAAACAAGTCATTATTAATACAAATCTAAAATTATGTACAGTAAATAGTTCATGTTCTATACTTCAGCTGAATTCTATAAATAATAAACTAGTTAGTGATAATTGATTATTCAATATCTCTGACAGTAAAGTACCTAGTGATATTGATTTTTACTGGTTAATGGGCTTCAATAGTTTTATTCAACTAGGTGTTTTTTCTATATTTCAGCTGTAACTAGTAAACAGACTTCAATAATCTAATTCAACATGACAGATTCATAATTTATTATAAATTCTGGTTTCTATATTTAAAACAGTAGACTATAGCCAATATCAGTTAGGATTTATCAACAGCCTTCAATAGTCCACTATACCAGTCCTTTTATTCACCTGATCTTTCCTCAGCAGCTCTATAAAGTAATCAACTGACTTCTCATGGGCGTTCATCTCTGGCAGCAACGTCCCGATCTTTAGGAAGAGCTCTACACTACAGGTCCTCATAGCACTGCAATACATACTTTATTGTCAACACAAGAAAAGTCTAAATTATTCCTTCACATGATATTCAGTAATTCACCATGATAAATTCATTTCACCTTTGAACTGTCACTGATAAACTGGTAGCCAAACTGAATAAAGATTGTTGACTCAAAAAATAATGGCACAATTAAAGTGCCTTGAGTGTGACTGATATTGACCATTCAGACTGGCTGAAGCATGGCCAGCATCTGCAATTCAGACTGATTAGAGCATGGCAGACATCTAAAATTCCTATTGGCTCGGGCAAGGTTGACATTCACAATTACTGGAGGTAGCTAACATTTTCAATTCAGACTGGCTGAAGCTTGGCTGACGTTTACAATTCAGACTGGTTACAGCATGGCTGACGTTTATAATTCAGACTGGTTACAGCATGGCTGACGTTTACAATTTAGACTGCCTTGAGCATGGCTGACATTTACAATTCAGACTGGCTTGAGCATGGCTGACATTTACAATTCAGACTGGCTTGAGCATGGTTAAAACTTACAATTCAGACTGGCTTGAGCATGGTTAAAACTTACAATTCAGACTGGCTTGAGCATGGCTGACATTTACAATTCAGACTGGCTTGAGCATGGCTGACATTTACAATTCAGACTGGCTTGAGCATGGTTAAAACTTACAATTCAGACTGGCTTGAGCATGGTTAAAACTTACAATTCAGACTGGCTTGAGCATGGCTGACATTTACAATTCAGACTGGCTTGAGCATGGTTAAAACTTACAATTCAGACTGGCTTGAGCATGGCTGACATTTACAATTCAGACTGGCTTGAGCATGGTTAAAACTTACAATTCAGACTGGCTTGAGCATGGCTGACATTTACAATTCAGACTGGCTTGAGCATGGTTAAAACTTACAATTCAGACTGGCTTGAGCATGGTTAAAACTTACAATTCAGACTGGCTTGAGCATGGCCATTATCAACACAGACTGACCAGAGAACTGCTGAAACTTGCTGCTCATATTGCTTCATGTTGGTAAATGTATTCAGCATAAGTACTATTTGTAGAGCATAGCTACACTGCTGACATAGTAAAAATTACCAGAACATTGCCAACATTTACAACTTACTATTCATACTGTTTCATGATGGAGGTGAGAGTATTAAGCATGAGCACCATCTGTAGAGCGTAGCTACACTGCTGGGCCTTGTGACTCTTCAAAACAGTCTCGCGATTAATGTTCTCCACCATCTCAAACTATAAACACAAACATCCTCCTTTAAATGTCAATGATGAAATTAAAATTTTCTATCACTTTAAATTCTTTGATGAATTTTAAATATACAATTTTAATATGTTGCTTACCTTATCCTTGACCTGAGAGGCCAACAGGTCACATTTACTGATGATCCTGGGAATCATGAGCAGCACACCTACGGCATCCTGGTCACCTGTGCCCAGAACACAAGGAAGTTAAGATAATGAACACAGACACACCTGACCTCTGAGAAACTATACAATTTAAGATTGAGAAAGCTACAAAACTAAGAATCAAGAAAAAGAACAGTAACTGAAAAAGATTCAGCAACTTGATATCTAGAAAATGATGCCACTTAACAAAGAAAGCAAGAGATTGACAATGAAATAAGAATTGTAATTAATTTCCATATGTCATGCATTACCTCCCCTGTTGCTGAAGGAGTTGGGCATAAAGGATTGCAGCAGTGACACCTGGTATGTAGCCTGTTGTACCTCTAACTTCCGCAGCTCCATGTCAATAGTCTGTAATATACAGGTAGTTTGAGGGCAGGAATGCAAGATATATACATCATCACGTAAAATAATCCCATATCACAAACATGATTCTTCCACATGCTTTTAATATATAACAGAAAAAATATGATTTAACAGAAATATACAAATAATATCTTCTTTAATGTTCAATACTATATTACACAGACATCTTTTTAAATGAAAGACTGCCACCAAGAACATAAAACTTAATGGGAACCAGGGAAGCTTTACTGTGTAAAAGAATGTAAGAAAAAAATAAGAAATAGGAAACAGATTTGTTGTCAACTGAAAAAAACCCAACAGGAAAATGTCCGAAAGAAATTGTTGGAGCGTTGAATGTCACACACCAAGGTAGGATATTAAAAGTCAACAATCACCTTGTCTAAAAACTGAATATTAAATCTATTTGTATAGAATATTGGGAAGGTGCAACATTTCTCCTCTTTGTGCAGCATTTAGCTGAGCAGGTAAAGAGACAGGTACTACAATATTTGTACCAGTTATTGATAACAAAACATCCCGAGTGGAAGTTATGGAGCTCACTTCCGAAGAAATATTAACTGCTGTTCCTACAGGCAGGACTATGAAAACATCATGCTAGCAGGAAACCAAGAAAATTATTCTAAGATGAAATTTGAGTTAAATCAATGTGAAAGAAAACATACCAAATTTCCTACTTCCTTCAATCAGAAATAATAAGAAACAAATGGTATTACTATTTTATCTTGTTTAGAAAGTAAACAGCCGTATGTCAAAGTAAACAGTGTTGTACAATACACCAGCATTTTTTACATACAGATGTGTGTATATCAAACACAGTATAGCTATAACTGGTCATTCAAATTTCAAACCTTCTGTCTGGTCATCATACAATATTGTTACATATGAATGGATAATTTGACAGGGAAATACAAACAACAAAGAATAAACATTATGATGCGTATCTACACGTACACATCTTTCTATTGTATATAAAATGTATTTCACAAAATATATATATATTCACTTTAATCCACAAGGCAATTTGACTACAAATTTGAAATTTTGTGAACATGTAGCATTTTGACTTTTGACAAATCCTGGATGAAAGAAGCTCGACCCCTAATCCTTGGTACTGTGCCCCTGTGAATACTGATTACAGCAGGACTCTGGCTCTCTTCAACTAAGATTTCAACACTACCCTTATTATTATTTTCCGTGCTGATGTGAACAGGTCTTACAAAATCACAGCAATACTTAAACATAAAATTAAGTGATTTATCAATAGCATTTCATTGTTTTGTGTAAACAGAGAAAATGACTAAACAAAAATCTTCATAATCCATTGAAAACATCAATTAACGGGCTGTACTTCTGTATCATACCAAGAAAAACCTGGTATAATTACCTTAGCATAAGCCTTTGACTCTGCAAACTTGGTTTTAAAATCAAACACTTCCATGGTTGGTGTTTCCGTCTTCTGCTCCGATTCCACTTGACGGCTCCTCATGTCCCTGATGGTGTCCTGTTAAAAAGACATGTATTACTGGGCATCAAAATTAATTTCTAACTTCAATTAGACTTAGCTTTAATATCTAATGTGGGCAACTACATTTAACCTTCCCATATTTTCAGACTTAGAAAACAAACAAATTGATACTAGGGTGAAAATATGGATTTTATACCCCATGAGAGTTTATGGGAATAAAATCAAATCTCTGATCACTCATTAAGCTTCCATTCCCTGTTATAGTCATGATTGCTACTATTTCTCTTCTTCTGTTAAATCTTAATCCGGTAGATATCTGGTATATCTGAGTAACATTTACAATTACATGGACTTCTAAAATTCTTTTTCAGAATTGCATTTAAGAAAATAATCTCAAGCTTGGTTGTTGTTAAAAAAGCACAAATGTCTATGAAAGCAGACAGGACAGGAAAGTATGTATTATCAGAGTCTGAATGCAAATTTTGTTCTGAACTACTAACATACCTGTAGACTAGACACAAGCTCTCGAAACTTTGAAATGGTAGCCTCATAATCTGCTATTGTTTCTTGTGTGGCATCCAGCTTTCTCTGCACCTATAAAAATATAATTTGTCCTGATGAAGCCTTCCAATCTAGAGGTGAAAATAGTCAGCAAATAAACAGGGGGACTATCTTAACTGTGATGCTAACACATGTTGTGGTATCCATACTCACTGCGCAACACCCCACATATCAACCTACTAATGTTGACCTTGCATTGGCTCTATTGCATTTTTCCATCTTTGCACAAATATAAGTGATAGAAATATCTATGTCACTAACAAGACATACTGTACTATGTAATCACTCACAAAATTAAATCAAATGGAGATAAAAATGTTAAAACTTTGGACTATTTGTAACTTTAGTGAATATGATAACATACTAAAATAGGTGTTCTCTGTGTGCTTATCGTATGAAGATTACAAACACAAAATTATACATTCAATTTTCGAAACACCAAAATAGCTTCATTGTGCAAAATACAATTTAAATTTACAATGCATGTATGTAATAGGAACCTTGAATTATGACCTAATATGACCTAAAATGCAATCCTAAGCAAAACGTTTCGCAAATTAAGCATGATAAGTACATGTGTTTTTTTAATTATAATAATGATTAGAAGAATATTTGATTATCTTTCTCAAAACCTTTGGGAGCATAGAGTTAGAGCTGCAATTTGACATTAACAGTTTGTAACTCTGCCAAACCGCATCCTTACATGGCTTACATTGACTGGAACAAGCATAGGAAAATATCTTGTTCAAGGATAAAACACGATGTCCTTACTAAGAGTATATTTAGTGGCCCTTTCATCAGTAGACCACTTTGACTTTGTGTATTTACCTCAGTAGCTCGTCCATTAGCCAGGTCCAGCTCCTCACGTAGCTCTAATTCAGACTCTCTAGTGTTCTCCTGTAGTTCCTCATTCATCTCATGAAGGGCTTCCTGAAACACAAGCATTTGCATTTTTTTACTTTTAGCAAAACTGAAAAAACAATACCCACACATTTCAAAATATGAAATGACATAATTATGAATTTATAGATAACCTCTGGAAATCAAAATGCTGATTGACAAGACAGGCAGATGGATATGACAGAGTGATTACTACATCATCTATCTCTGTGGTGAACCCTCATTATATAATGATTATGAGAAAATATCAATGGCACAAGATGACCAATTTCTAAAATCACAGGAGAGAAGGTTATAGCATCATTGTTCATTTTAGTCCATCACTCCTGATAGAATTTTTACATGTTTTTACATATTATAACAATAGTCAGGACAGCTAACTGTTTCATACCAGATCTGCTTTTTCTTCCTCTAGTTCATGTATCAACTCCTCCAGCTGAAGATTTTTCTCTGCTAAAGATTCAACCATCTCTTCTGCACCGAGAGCAGCATCCACCTAAACATACAACACATCAATACAAGTTTTCACAAATGACTGTAATCTGCAGACAAATTTAAAGTTGTTTGTCTATGACTGTATTCTAAAGACAAATTATTAGTTCTTTGCCTACAACAGCATTTTGCAAACTTTTACTTCTTTGTCTATGACTTAGCTTTTGTTCCTGTTGATCTATGACAAGTCTGTACCTGTTCCTTTAGCTCTATGACCTGGGTCTGCAGATCATTGACTTCTTGCTGAAGTTTCTCCTTATCTCGTTTCAGTGTTACTATATCATTGGTCAACTTCTCATTTAACTTCTGGTTCTTCACTGCCTCCTGTTTATCACTTGTTGATAGATCACGCATCCTGTACACAATAGAATTAACGACCAATTAATTCAATAAAACAACTTACACAACTAACAGTCAAAATAAAACTAGAAAATCATACACGTTGTTATCTTTCTTTATGCAACAATACATTGTTATCTCCTCCCATTAAACAATCCATGTTTTTATCACCCTTTATTTAACATATATATTGATTTTCCATTCATCTAAGTAATGTTATTACATTTATTCACACACATCATCACCATGTTCCTATATTTAAAACGTACACTGTAGACATACATACATAGATCAACAGATATTGATATGGCTTTGCTTTTCAATGAATCATGCTACATGTCCTCACTTTAAAGACAGACTTTCTCCTACTTCATAGATGGTTATTTTAGCTGATGCGTATTTCACATTTCACTTCAGAAAGTGTTCACATATAACTTTTTCTGTTTCTGGTTTGGATACCCTTTTCTACCCCTCCCCCCCACCCCCCTCCTGCTTTCCGTTATCTTTCCCTTTTGTTTTTTGCACAGTTAAATCTATACAATATGATAATATGTCATGATATAATATAGAGCAAGACAAATCATGTATTATTGTATCATCAGCTTATTTTAATATCACTGATATAATCAAAGTACTGAAAGTACTGGTATGCTAAGACCATTGAAAAATAAATTCTTTGTTATTAGCTTGCTATATACTGAAACCAACTATATGCAAGCAGTAAATCATTGCAGCCCATAAAAAATGACCAGCAGATATCAGAAATAACAAGCATAGTAGTATTACTTATGTAATACATGTCCCAAGTAGGCTCCAAGATGCAATGATAGGGAAGTTGTCCATTTCTTTGGATACATTGTAGGAAATGTTGATCTTGGACACCATATTATCACTTTAAAAACTGTGTATCTTATTGGTTTAAGACCATTAGTTAGACCATCATGCAAATAACATGCTACATACAAATATTGGGCAGCTTCATTTTCCAGATTGTCTGTAAATGACTGCATAAGAGTGCCAATTTTCTAAAACAAACATGATATGTCACCATAACTTAAAATAAAAGATGCCTATTCTTTCGGAACACCTGGTCTTATTCTCCTTGTACTTTTTCAGGGAATCTTCGAGCAGATATTGTCTTTGTTTCAATTTTACACTTGTTTTGCTGGTTCTACAATTCTGTTGACATGTTTATATATTCTTTGTTCTCTAAAACCTGTCGCAAGATATTTTATTCCTCTTGTATTATCATTTTTTAACATCCTAACAGTGACCTTGAACCTTGAAATTTGATAGAAAAATGAGGGTAATGCAAAGAACACCCCCATGCATCTATCCGTTTTTTGACTGTGACCTTGATCTTTGACATCTGACCCTGAATTTCTAAAGAAACCGACTTCTCATAAGGGATACATGTTCCAAATTTGATTAAGGTATACTGTCTTAGTCTCAATGCGTTTACAAGGTAATCATATAGTACTTATGCAAGTACTGTGACCTCTACATTCAATCCTCAAAATCATTACTATATCCTCTCCACATTGCCCAGGGATAACTGAAACTGTAATCCAAATGATAACTAATACCCCCAACACCCACAGCCTTAGCTATCTCCCCATGGTGACCTTTTGCACAGAAACATCCTCTGAAACACAGCGGCATGTGCACGTTCCCCAACATTCCTGCAAAGTTTTGTTGAAATTAGTTCACAGGTTTAGAAGTTGACCGACGAGCAAAACCCGTTTATATTGACCAGTTGCCATGGCAATCAATATTTCGAGGGAAAATGGTGCATGCACATCTACACATTGTCCTGAATATTACTGAAAAGTTTCATTGGAGTTGTCCAGACAAGATGTGTCTACAGACAGACAAACAGATGGATGGACTGATAGACAACCTGATTCCAGTTTACCCACCCTTTTGGTGGTATAAGAATGCACAAGAGTGCTTACAAATTCCATGTGGACAGACATTATGGAAAAATAATAATAATAATAAAAAAACATGATACAGATGCTTATATCTTGTTTTATTCAGTTTTTAGATACAGTATTCTTTCCATGCTTTGATCACAATGTAATCTTGTCATGTCAATATCCTAGTACAAGATTGCATACACAAAATTGTTGTAGGTAGACTTTAAAGATACATAAAATAATACATGCCTAAGTTTAAATGAAGGTTTTAAACAGAAGTCGCATTATGTTCAGTATACAGTGATTTTTCTAGACAATTGTAAACTATAAACTCGGTATACAGCGATCTTTTCTACACATTTGTAAACAACAAACTCAGTATGCGGTGATCTTTTCTACAAAGAGTTTTTTTTATATATTGTATACACTAAACTCAGAAAAAGAATAAATAAGTAAACCTTTCTATGTACACTACAAACTCAGTATACAGTGATCCTTTCTACACAAACTTGGTATAACTAGTGAATCTTTCTACTCAAGTAAATTGAAGATTGTATACAAATTTACTACAAATGCAGTATACAATCATCTTTTCCAATTTTTTTAGTTTCCGCGATTTGTTGATTCTTCTTTTGTGCTGGTAAATATATTGCCGCCTTTAGAGAGTACTGTGACATTAAAAGGCAACATGGTTGTTAGCATCACCTCAAGTGATTAATCATCTTCAACATCTAATTGGGGGCCGGAAAGAAGGATGTTTTTCTCCACCATAAGGTCCTCAAATCCATTGTTGGTCACCATGGCCAATTCCAACTTAGAAGAATCAATAGAGATACCTTCTACCATTCCAGATTTCATTTCTTCAGGGACATTCACTTGCTGAAAGAGAGTAAGGGAAATAAATAACTATATTTCATTATTGCTATGATTATGTGCAAGAAATATACACTTCTGTATAAGCTTATAGTCTTCCCAATAGGAGTCTATATTAAATATAATGTAATTAATTACTTTGACGTTCAGGAAAGTCAAATTATTAAGCGATGGACAGCTAGCAAAATGATAATATCTTGACCATGGTCATACAGAGATTGAATCATAAAATTAAATCTGTGTGATAAATCTGTGCAGTACGATAATTTATTTTGACATTTGTATTTCAAAAATCATTTTGACATGAAAAGTAATGTGTAATTTAATTAATTACATTGGACCGTCATGTAATGGTTAATTATTTTGAAAATACCTGTAATGGCAATGCCATTTTCATAATGTAATTGTAATTTAATTAATTACATCATCATGTAATTGAACCCATGCCTGTTACAAACAGTAGCTGTCCTAACTGATCCTAAAATTAACTTTGGTTACGTCTATCACAAAATTAACTTTGACTATGTCTATTACAAATGCCACATTTAGCTACAGTAGAGGTATTTCAAAAATGTACGTCATTGTAGCTGAAAGGACATAATTAATGGTTACTTAACCAGAACTACAGTTCTGAACAAACCACTACAAAGCCTGGTTAACTGTACTAAGAAAATGTCCTCTCAATTAATCAATTTCATTGATTATCGACATCTTATTGTTGTACTTCCGGACACTTGAATTTCTTAAAGTTTCAATTTGACTTTTAATAAGGCCCAAAGTGATAATACTGCAATGTCTTAATAAGCTCTCGAGGGGTATTGGTTAGACTATTTATCCCATTTCATTCCATTCACCATGGAAACAAAACTCTAAAACGCTTAAAAACAGTCGACAATTAATGACAAATATTGAGCCTAGGGCTGTGTAAAATTGATAAATCAAGTGCTGAACTGAAAGTTGACGCAGTTGACATGATACTGAAATTTCTGAGATGAACAAATACAGTACATATATTAACAGTTCAGGCATAATAAGAATTGTACCAATTACATTTTACACATTCACACTGGGACCTTACACTTTACACATTCACACTGGGACCTAACACTTTGCTAGATTTATCCTAATCTTCATTAAAACACTTTCCGGGATTCAGATGTTAATTGACATCTTCATTATTCCCAATCTTCATATTGTAATCGTTCACATGCATCACTCTTCAACAGAATCAACGAGACATCATGTCAGAAAGACAAAAACTAAATTTAAGCTAAAACTATATATATAAACTTCATATGTAAACCTTACAATTAGCATAGCACTAGAGTTCCCGTACGATTTCATACCCTGGACTTGGGGTACTTATAAATTATCTCCGATCAGAAATTTGAAAGAGCTAGATCTACAATAGCACAGACAGTGACCGATATTTTTCAAATGCATACTGCTTTAAAGGAAAAGTCTTGAAAATATTTTGAAAAAAGTGCCATAGCGGCAGTGCCCAGCCTGCGCGTCGCCGTCGAGCCTAAATTCAATACATGCGATAGCTCATTTCAAATGAGTATTTTGCAAAAAATGCAATTGCTTGTTCAGTATAAGTATTGACTTTAAATTCAGCTTATATATATATATATATATAGTGATACTTACTTACATCAAATACCCGCCATCTTCTTTCTGCCGCCGTATTCTTTCAGGGTCCAGCAGCAAATAGCACCCCGGCTGTTTCCGGCTGTTTCCGTCAAAATTTTATGCTACTCTAAATCATTCTTAATTTAGTTTCATTCTTATTTTCAACTTCATATTTCAGTATTTGCTAAAGTTTTCAACAGTATTAAACGGGATGAAAATTTTCGAAAAAGAAAAAAAAGAAAGATATGTGACACCCACAATGCATCGCGCGGAAAAGAAAGTTAAGCCGCCATATTGGCATCGCCTCGCAAAATTTACCACCATAAAACGTGAGTCTTTGTCATTGTATTTACAAATTTCGATGTCTGATTATCATTAATACACAACACAAAACGTTTTCTTGATGTACAAGTAATGAAGAAAATGTCGATAAGGTTGTTTCATTTAATGACTAGCATCAGCAACTTGTAGGGGCGATAATCCAATGATTACGGTAATGTCCGGCAGATGGAGTAGGAGTAAACTTTCGATTTATGAACCAATGAAAACGAAGTACTGATACTCAGGGCCAGGGGCGACAGCAACATAGCATAAAAATGTGTCTGTCGATAGTGTGAGGCATCAGTACAACTTACTTGACGAGAGCATCCTTCAAGCGTTCATTCTGCTGCTCTAACTGCTTCACCTGATAGTTTGAGGCCAGTCCCTCTGTACCTTTCTCACTAATCTCACTTCTCAGGATCTCCAGATCTAGAGACAGTTCTTCATTCTTCTCCTTCAGACTGTCCAATTCTTGTTGTAATGACTCACTCTGATATAATCAAGTTATAGAGTATCATTCTAAATGATGCCAGCATACTACACTGTACTAAGGTGATGGGAATTGAAAAAGGTGGAAAGGACCTTACAATAAATGCTGGTGTATAGCTATATGCATCTAGAAGATATCTAATTTAATATCAAAATTAACTGTGATTACAATATGCATGGAGATTTCAGTTCACCATGATATAGCCTAAATAAAGTTGATCTCATAACATCACTAATACTATACAAAGGCTTGTATTCATTTAAACCATGGACACAATGACTTACAAAGAAATGAACTGAAAAAATTGTCAAATCAATGATGGGTTTTATCATTATCACCCTGTAGGGATTTATACTGGTTTTGACGAATGTTCTGATTGCTGTCAGCCTGTTTACTTACAAAACATGTTAATGACATTTATGACTTATGTTTGATCTGAAGAGACACAAACCTTTTCCTCTGCCATTTCCTTGTCCAGTGTTGCCAATTCCATGGATTCTGCTAGGTCTGACATTTCATCCTTATACTGGTCGAAAGCATCCTGGATGTCTCGTGCTTCCTGTTAAACAATCAGTCTCCAAACTATATATAAAACTTGTTTATGTAGCATGGTCCTGATTGTAAAACTTATACATATTCGGTTTGATAATTCCTTCAGTACCGTTACAAGAGGTCCTAATATTGTGTAATCCTACTTGGCACTCTATATCAATGTGATCTATATTCTTCTTTACTCTTTAAGATACCATTAATTGCTGTGTTAGCTGGTGACTCTATCATGTTGTAAAATTGGTCTACAAGGGAAACAAACATAATTAACTTGAGAAGGATTTATCCAGGACCAACCTCGATACTCCAGGGGTTCCCACCACTTGCAGAGAGTGATAGTGAGCATAACCCCTGGAGTACTGAGGATGGTCCAGTACTTTAAAACAAAAAGCGATAACAATCTTCAAACATTTCCTGTCAGCAACATGGTCTTTCTGTTCAATCTTCAGTAACAATTTTCGACCAGCTAGTCAGTTACACACTAGGTGAAGTCCCCATGTATATTTACCCTCTTAGCATTTGCTAATTGCTGTTGTAGTTCCTTGTTAGTCTCCTGGATTTTACTCTTGTACTCTTGTAACTGAAAGCAAACATTTCACCAGTATGTTAGAAAAGCAACACTTTTAGAATCTATTAACATTGCTGTTAATTCATGTTGATGGACTCTTCTAGTTTTAAGGAATAAGTGATCATCTTAGTGAGGTGTTACTTTATAAATAAGCCATTAAAATACATGTAACAATTAATACAAAGTCCAAGGATGTTAGAACAATTTATCCCCTTTCACATTTCCTAAATTTGTCAGGATTTCAAATCATTCCCAAACATCTTATTCAAGTATAAATGTATTTCTATAATTCAAAGTAACACATTAATATACACTTAATGGATGCTATTGGTTACAGTTTAACAACAGAAGGAATGGGATTCATTTAAAATTTCAATTTAACCTCCTAGCCTTAAAAATCTTCTATCAACGCCATTTATATAATGAAAATCTTTTATAAATGAAACAAAAAAGAAAAACATATATAGGCTGTATGGGCTATCTCAACCTTTTTTCTAACATGACATGAAACCTGACAAAGGATTCTTTTAAAACTTAGTAGTTACCTGCTGCATTTGTAATTTGGCCCTCTCAAATTCTTTTAATTTGCCTTTGTCTTCACTACGTTTTATTTTGAGAGTTTCTAATTTTTCGTTGAGGTCTTTAATTTCAGCAGTCAGTCCCTCAATTTCCTGAGACTGCTGTAAGTTGGTCATCTTGTCCTCCAGGGAAGTCATACTCACATCTGCTGGAGTAGTCGGCTGGAAACAAAATCAACATGATAATAACAATAATCACAAGCAAGACAAAAAGTCTCAGAAGTCCCCACAAAAACTTTTGGACTTCAGTTTATATGAATCTACTAGAAAAATGTTTACATTTAGGACATTATTTTTTGCTTATTCTGAAACAAATTTTCAGATTGATGGATTTATGTTGCTGTGTGATAACAGCAATAGTTAGTGATTTCTGATGAAAATATTACAGACTGCAAACTAAACTGGTTGTTTGTGCCAGCATTTCTGTCTAGGCCATAAGTATTTGGGATAAAAAACTAACACAATATGTGAGGATTGGCTCTACTCATTCACTCACCGTAGTCTTGGTGGTCGGCAGTTTGGGTGTTGACTCTTTGGGAGGTGGTTTTATCTCTGAAGGTACTGGTGGAGGAGGTGTGGCTTCCTTACTAGGACCTCGACCAATCTTTGATAATCCAGAAGGAATACTGCTGTCCTTGGCTGGTGTTGGTAGAGGAGTAGCAGTAATCTTTGACAGGTCAGAAGGTACACTTGGTGCCCTCTTCGGGGTTGCGGCCACATCTACCAGATTTTCACTACCTGAGATGTTATATATCAAGAAACATACAGCAAACTATAGCAACCAGATAAATACTTCAGTTTAAATTCATCTCAATGAAATTTAATTCAAATTGATTGTTAAAAATCTGAATAAACAGACTGAAAATATTCAAAAAGAATTTCCAAATGGCATATATACATGGTTTAATCTTTTGGATCTGGCTGATGACTACAAACCAACACATACCTACATAAAGGTTTTTACATATTAAAACTGACGACTCAAAAGTATATTTTTACTTCCAAAATTTTTTATTTTACTCTCAGGATTCAATAACTGAGTCACTTTCTTTTGTCTTTTATATAAGATTTTATCTTAACGAGAGCAGGCCTTTCAAAAGAAACATGTTGATCAAACATCAACAGCAGAAAACAAAAGGGTTAGGTAGCTTTCCAGTGCTTCGTCAGAGTACATACTTTTCCCTACATAGCTTGGTGGCCGTAGACCTGACCGCTTTGTCGTCTTCGGACCAGGGATCCCTGAAGCTGGCTTTGGTGTTGGAGTAGGTGTAGGAGCAGGAGTGGCCACACCAGGACTAGGTTGCTTATCATCCAAAGCTACAATCTACACAGATAATAAAAGTAAATGATGTACATGTTTATTGTCAAGTCTTACTTTTATTGAAGCTTTTTTATTATTCCATGGATTGAATAAACATCAAAATATATGATTAAAATGTACTAATGAGTTTGTTCAGAATGGCAACAAACTAACTCATTCAACACTTACTTATAACACTCAATACTTATAACACTAAAAGTCATTATTATGCCTGATATACCTGAGACTGACGAACAAAGATTCCATGATTGTCTTCACAGGTGAAGTAAGTTTTGCCCTGTACCACACCATTGTTCTTCCCCTTGGCATCATCAAGGATAACACCGATCCATTTACCTAAATTTGAACATAGTAGTGTAGTTGTACTTTTCCAAATTTCTGAATTAATTTTTTATGAATTTATGAATTTTCACATCTGTCCACAATGAAAAGGGATTTAGTTTTAATCATTGTAATATTTTTCCTTATTTCATGAAAATTGAATAAAGGAGAATATGTCTGTGATGTGTAACAATGAAAAAAGGGTTGATAATATAGGTCATTATTAATGAATTACAGTAAGGTGGAACATACCACTTGAGAAGAGGGTTGATCCAATATAGGCTACTGTCCCAATGACTCCTTTCCCAATAACCTCCACACGAGTTCCAATCTTTAACTGTTTGCCCTCAGCCATATTTCAGGTTTTTTCTACAAATACAATTAAAAAAAACATTCATGAAATACAAATCTCTGAAAAAATACATTTCGTGAAATAATTGATATCTTGATAAATATGTCTTCATGGAATATTCCTATCTCAATTCAAAAGACATTATATATTTATAGTCTGCCTGTTAATTTATGCAGACAAACTAGGTCTTTCATTGATTTCAAAGGTAATACATGTTTTTCAAACATGAATTGTGAATGCTATGCACATATACACAATATAAATATCAGAATTGATTTGTCTCAGAGAGAGAGAGAGAGAGAGAGAGAGAGAGAGATGGAGAGCAATAGATGATCAGTAGGTCTGTCTTCATACCATTACAATGGTATCTTCTGTCAAACTGACCAAATAAAAGAGTTTTTGAGATCTGTATCACAGTTGCTACGGTAAAATTTACTTCAAAATCTAGCAATGATACTGATGTCAATTGAAAAAGAAATACATTTAGATATACATTGTAGCTTCTACCATCACATTTTACATGTACAAATATTACACACAAATAATATTGTTAATTTAGAAGACCTCAAAAGAATGTTTATATTAAAAAATATATGTTTTTACTCTTAGGTTTGAAGGGACCTGTCTATTTTACTTCTCTTTGGCCCTTCAGGTTTGTGATTTAACTTTCGAAATTACCAAATTTCAAAGCTCAACTGGATGGCATGAATGAATTCTTAAAATTTACTTAACTGTCATTTGCATTTGAAAATATTGTAGAAAAGTTAAACTCAGAGGTTAACACCCATCAAAAGTTTCAGACTTCTGTATTCATCAACACTAACACTGTCACAGACAAACAATACCAGTAATTATAACCTAGGACTTAGGTACATTTTGGTGCTGTGATTCTATACATCTAGTGATTCTGCTAATTTCCAGCTATTTGTCTATGTTCTGAGACAACAATGGTATATATGTTCCACTACATTTAATATCAGAAATAACTCAGGGATACAAGTGGTACTATTTTAGAAAGTGTCTTGACACTAGGCAAGTTCTGCAATTAAGGTACACAGAATTACAAGACATGCTGATTTACCATTCAGCATTATGATAAACACTCCCTTAGATAACATGCAAAATGTACAGCTTCTCTAATTACAAATGGTGAACATGTACACAAGTAACAGGTATCAAGATTTGCTTGCTGGGTTTGTTTTCCTGTGAGCAGCCACTGTCATTGTGAGACAGAGGTCTCCGTGTAGTACCTGATGACTACCTGCTCCTATATCGTAAGAGACAGCTAGTCAACCCATTGGTTATCTGATGTTATTATGCGGACTGCAATTTCTTATTTCCAAAGCACTTTTTGTTTGATGTCCATTCTATTCTCAAATCTGGGCAAAAAACGTTCAATTTTATCTCTATTTATGACTTAAGTGTACATGTACTTCTAATATTGATAGGGATGAGGCTACCTCGCATAATTTAAGTCTGTGCTGTATTGAACTGAGCTATCACAGCTCCAAAAGCATCAAGACCTGGGATATGAAACCAATAGAAACAATACAGAGGAAAATATAACAAAATCATGTTTCTTTCATACTAGCAAAAAAATCATGGATCCTTTAATTAATTTTTTTTCTCTCGATTTGGTTTGGAACTGACCAGCATGCTATGACAACTGAGGTGTCTACACGGCAGCTTACGTATTGTCTGTAAATGTAACTTAAGTCGTCTGATACCTAATTGTTGATGAACCTTGGTTGCATCGCTCATACAACACGTTTTTCTCAGTCTTGAAAATTAATTGATCGGAATTGAGATCGATGATAATTCTGTAATCCGCTATAGGTCAACGGTATCAGCTGTATTGCGACTTCCCTAGTTCTTGCCAAACTTTTACGAAAAAGAAGATTACTGTCCTTATAAACAATATGAATATGTAAACCTGAGCGATGACACAATAACTTACATCTCTTTAAAACCTTCTATTTTCTTGCAAACCTCACATTCTTATTACATATTCATCCTCTGCATCATCCTCTGTCGCTTAAGTTCAAGAAAATTAAGGTGAAGTAGTATATAAAACGTATAAATTTCCGGAAATTATAAATGGTAAAAATGTTATTAAGCAGTTTTCAGACGGATATTATCGATATACTATTTAATTGCACAGATAAAAGCTAATAAGATAAAATACAAATATTTATTTTATATAACCTTCCGAAGATTTTTATTCACGGAAATACGTGATCGTATGTTTTATTAGAAGTTCAAAATGGCTGACGAAGGTAAACTTGGCACTGACACATCAACACGAAATAGATATTTATCTTATTTTAAGAAACACACCTTTTTCTAACTTATCCAGTAACTATTCAACCTACTTCACTGGCCATCTGTTGTAGACGTAATGCTTATGTCTTTCTAAGAAGTGCCGCCAACCACGCCCACTGTGTGTTACATTCAAGATCTTAGATTTTTAATAGTTAAATAGGGAAAGTTTGTTACAATACAACATTAGTATTCTCCATTCCACTTCATACTGCATAATTACCGACGAATTACATATAACATGTAGATACATACTTATATTCAGTGATGAGCAAATGAAACATGAACATGTCTCGATATCAAATTGGAATAAACATGGCTCAATGTGGCGTGTACATAGAGTTAAATAAGTGTCTATCACCCAGGTAATATAGCATGTTTCTTTGGCTCTGTTGGCTAAGCCATGGATTATCATGCTGGATACCTGGGTTCAATTCCTCTTGGGGCTCTCTGCAGTAATGTTGTTTTCCCTCTTTCACAAAAGTACATTGTACAAAATTTTCATTGGTAAAGGATTTCATTTTTTTGTATGACTTTAGATCAGCAAAGAGGTACCAAGGCTAAACGCCATGGTATGCTGAAGATGTACTATGGCATTGAAGAAGACCAGATTGGAGGAGCCTCCCTTGACCCATGTGATATAAATGGAGCTCATTTCAAAGCTGATACCTATCTGGCACGTCTCATTAAAGAAAAGTCACTGACAGAGTTGATGGATGAGGAATCCAAGACATTGACACAGATAAAAGCACTTGACAGTGACATGCAGACTCTTGTTTATGAAAACTATAACAAATTCATTAGTGCAACAGACACTATAAGAAAGGTAACTTTTTTCATGGTTCTGAATATTGCAAAGAGACTATTGTCTTTGGAAAATGTTTGTACCTTTCAATATACAATTTACTAAAATTATCACATAGTAAAGTTATCCAAAAACTTGTACAAACTGGGCTTTCTATTACCCTATTTAAAAAATATGAAAAGGGAAAAAAACAAAGAAATTATGTTTGCTTTGTAAGTAATTTACAGTATAGTCCTATTCAGTAATAAAGTGTTTATCTTTATTAGATGAAAAACGATTTTAGGAAGATGGAAGATGAGATGGACCACTTGGCAACTAACATGTCGTCCATAACTGAGTTCAGTGCCAGCATCAGCAGCACACTTCAGGACAGACGACAACAAATCACTAAACTTTCAGGGGTACACTCCCTTCTCAAAAAACTTCAGTTCCTATTTGAACTACCAGCCAGACTAAAGAAATGTATAGAAATGCAGGCCTACAGTCAAGCAGTAAGGTGGGTTGGCCCAAGCCTTTACTTTAAACAGATAGAGCTCTTTAAAAGAACCTCTCTTTGTATAGCATCATTGGACTTGTAATGACATAGCGATAATCTTACAGTGTGGGGTTTAGGGTACATGTACCTCCTAACATTAATAGTTAAATCTTCACTACTTCTACAATTAATCTCTCTAGACCACACATCTCCCTTAAATTGCCTGTTTTATTTGAAACTAGAGCACAATTTATCTTGCATTTGTGTTCAGTAAGTGCTTCAGTAACATTTACATTCACAATGTATTACAGTTACAGAGCAGGATAGTCAAAATTATTTTGATTTCTATTGACTTTCATCTACACCATACCAATATAAAAAAAAAGTTGATAGAACAACAGAATTGGATAGAAAGCAAGGTTGTAATTACCTCCCTCTAAAATTGTACTTTATATTATAGGTATTACAGTAAGGCTAAGCGAATCTTACATCAGTACCAACACATGCCAAGTTTCCAGGGAATCAGTGAAGATTGTAACAAGATTATACAGGAACTCTGTCAGCTTCTTCGTCAACAGTTCAAGAACAAGGAGGTAACTTGGCTTACTGTGTACAAGACTTTAGCAGGATTGAGCAGAATATGAACAGTGACCATTTGTGACCCTGTGTGGCCCTATGTGACTGTCACCCTGTGTCACTTTCAGATCCTATCCATGAAGTTTAAATTAGCAACTCAGATGAGTATTACATTATAATTAAACTAGTCAGGTTCACAACAAAACATAATCTGCATTTAAGTCTAACGGAATGAGACTTCCTTGTCACTATCTCAATAACCAGATGCCATATATGTAAGCTATGATAATACTGTAGGAAGTAGGATTGAAACTCTTCATAGTAACAATATAATTTCCCATATTAACAATATTAATGTTATTTGTATTATATATTATTTTCAGTCTACTCCCAAACAACTGGCTGAGTGTGTTGATCTATTACTACAGCTGGATGAACCTGCAGAAGTCCTGTGTGATGAGTTTCTCTCTCAGTAAGTATATAGGTACAGAGATATTTTGAATGTGTTACTAAACTTGTCACTGCTGAAATTTATTCTTTAATTAAAGATTCTTATGTTAGTTTTTAAATATAAACAGAAATTGCGTCTTTAAGACAGGTTTTTAGATGGAAACCTGAATTGTTTCTGTAAGCAAAGGTTTTTAGATAGAAACCTGAATTGGTTTCTGTAAGACAGGTTTTTAGATAGAAACCTGAATTGGTTTCTGTAAGACAGGTTTTTAGATAGAAACCTGAATTGTTTCTGTAAGTAAAGGTTTTTAGATAGAAACCTGAATTGGTTTCTGTAAGTAAAGGTTTTTAGATAGAAACCTGAATTGGTTTCTGTAAGACAGGTTTTTAGATAGAAACCTGAATTGTTTCTGTAAGACAGGGTTTAGATAGAAACCTGAATTGGTTTCTGTAAGACAGGTTTTTAGACAGGGGTTTAGATAGAAACCTGAATTGGTTTCTGTAAGTAAAGGTTTTTAGATAGAAACCTGAATTGGTTTCTGTAAGACAGGTTTTTAGATAGAAACCTGAATTGTTTCTGTAAGACAGGGTTTAGATAGAAACCTGAATTGTTTCTGTAAGACAGGTTTTAGATAGAAACCTGAATTGTTTCTGTAAGACAGGGTTTAGATAGAAACCTGAATTGTTTCTGTAAGACAGGTTTTAGATAGAAACCTGAATTGTTTCTGTAAGACAGGTTTTAGATAGAAACCTAAATTGTTTCTGTAAGACAGGTTTTTAGATAGAAACCTGAATTGTTTCTGTAAGCAAAGGTTTTTAGATAGAAACATGAATTGTTTCTGTAAGCATAGGTTTTTGTGTTATACAAGTTTTTAGATAGAAAGATATTATGCTATGTGAGCCTGTAGACGTTTGACTATCTCTGTTGTCACTTCACTCTTGTCAAACTCAACACCTCAGGAACCAGATACATTTGCATCAACAAAACTAACAGTATGCTATGTAACATACCATCTATTTTATTGATTTAAAACTTAAGAAATAGTTATAATTTCTGTATTTATTTCAAGTAAAAAGTTCTTCATTTCTTTTTAATAACTTGTCTTATATTGTATCCATCCCCTTATTTGGTATAAACAGAGTTCATCACTCATTGTATCCATCTCCTTATTTGGTATAAACAGAGTTCATCACTCATTGTATCCATCTCCTTGTTTGGTATAAACAGAGTTCATCACTCATTGTATCCATCTCCTTATTTGGTATAAACAGAGTTCATCACTCGTTGTATTCATCTCCTTATTTGGTATAAACAGAGTTCATCACTCATTGTATCCATCTCCTTGTTTGGTATAAACAGAGTTCATCACTCATTGTATCCATCTCCTTGTTTGGTATAAACAGAGTTCATCACTCATTGTATCCATCTCCTTGTTTGGTATAAACAGAGTTCATCACTCGTTGTATTCATCACCTTCTTTAATTTGTTATAAACAGTGCTCGTCAGAAGATAGACCAAGAGGATTTGATGGTACTTGAGCGACAGATCAGACTGCAATGTGGGGAAGATATAAAAATGGAGGGAGAGAGTCCAGCTCAGGCTTATCTTGGGACCACACCTATGGTATATGTCTGTTTTCATTATAGACTTACCTCATTCCAAAGATGATAGTATCCGATTTCATCAGTATTTCTTCTGTGTCAGTTTTCGTCAGTAATTTACTTGTCTGTTTTCGTCAGTAATTTACCTGTCTGTTGTCGTCATTAACCCACATCTTTTGTCATCAGTAATTTACCTGTATCTGATTTTGTCAGTAATTTACCTGTCTGTTGTCATCATTAAACCACATCTTTTGTCATCAGTAATTTACTTGTGTCGGTTTTTGTCAGTAATTTACCTGTATCTGATTTCGTCAGTAATTTACCTGTCTGTTGTTGTCATTAACCCCCCATCTATTGTCATCAGTAATTTACATTTGTCTGTTTTGATAATACTCTTCCTGTGCCTATTTTGATAAGTGATTTACATGTGTCTGTTTTAGTTTACTGTGGTTGTGGTGTACCTTTATTCTGGTATTAAATTTGTCAGTAATATATGCATATCTGAGTTAACACAATGTAAACAGGTCAAGGTAACACTGTATATTGTCTGTTGTGATTTCCATTTAAGGATGTACTTGAGTTTGTTGACTCTGGCTGTAATGGTTTCCTTAGTAACATCTGCCTGGTGATTGCATTTTACAATGACACATTCCTCAACAAACACCAGGAGGAGTAAGTATCTATGTATATACACTTCTCTCATAACATGATAAATACATGACTGATGTGTATAGTTTACTGGGTAAGTGGTGACTGGATTGTGGGACAGTCTAATTAATGGTGACTGGATAATATCAGATTAATTGTGACTGGATTGTGTGACAACCAGATTTGTGATAACTGGATAGTGGGAAAATCAGATTAATGGTGACTGACAAAGGTTTCATTACAATATTTCTTCATGTTGATTAATTTGATATTTTTCAGTGACAATACAGATGCAATGGCATTGAAGAAATTAGTTCACTTTGTTAATGAGTTGATGGAAAAATATTTCAACTACGTCCAAAGGAGGGTCCAATTAGAGGTTTGCTTTTTAAAAATTGATGTGAACAATGTTTTCATGCAGTTTACGTACATTCTCTAAGTCTGCTGATGTACTGTACCAAAAATAGTTCCATGATCAAATTCCTTAACAACAAAATATGCAGATAATTTGCTTACATATGTACCTACATGTTATCTGTGAGTATGACATGATGGTTTATAATAATTTGTGATTGCATTTTAGATGTTTCAAAGGAAAAACAAGCAAAAATTAAGGCAAATCACTTTTCTTATTGGAAAAACAAATCAAATTACAAATTTCTTGTCTTCAAACATGTTTGTTAGAACCAATTCAGTTTGGTGCATCAGAAAGTTAACTTCTGGGTTTAGACATCGATTAAAAAAATGTCAACTGTCACATTCTGCTTATTATCACATTTCCTCTCAACAAACGCAACATAATATTTTGCAGTTTCCACTGCATAGGAATCGTTACATTACATATTCTGGTGCATTTATGATCTCGGAAAACTGTGTAATCAGAAATGGTGAAGAAGTTATGATTTCATATTGGAGATAAGGCTATTTTTAAACAGTGTAATCCTTAACAGACACGTCGAAACAAAATGTTTTGATTAAATAAGAATGAGAAATCAGCAAGCTTACCTTGTATTTTTGTGCTTCAGAAGGAAACTGGAGACAACACTATCCTGGTAAGGGCCCTGGACAGATTCCACCGTAGGCTACAGGCCATGAACAAGCTCCTACCTGACACAGACTTCTCTAGGTAATCTAGATCATTCATGTCCTTTCAGCAGGGGCTTGTTAACTTTGTTAGCCCACCATCTATTCAAATAGATGGTGGGTTATTCAAATCGCCTTGTGTCTGTGGTCCGTGGTCCGTGGTCCGTCCGTCCGTCTGTCCGTCCGTAAACAATTCTTGTTATCGCTATTTCTGGAAAAGTACTGGATGGATCTTTCTCAAATTTCATATGCAGGTTTTTGGTCCCTAGTTGTGCATTGTACCTTTTTTGAACTCATTCGTATTCAAGATGGCTGACAGGTGGCCATCTTGGATTTTGGAAGTAAAAGTTTGTTACCGCTATTTCTGGAAAAGTACTGGATGGATCTTTCTCAAATTTCATATGCAGGTTCCCCTTGGTCCCTAGTTGTGCATTGTACCTTTTTTGGACTGATTCGAATTCAAGATGGCCGACAGGTGGCCATCTTGGATTTTGGAAGTAAAAGTTTGTTACCGCTATTTCTGAGAAAGTACTAAATGGATCTTCCTCAAATTTCATACGCAGTTTCCCCTTGGTCATTAGTTGTGCATTGTACATTTTTTGGACTGATTCGAATTAAAGATGGCCGACAGGCAGCCATCTTGGATTTTGGAAGTAAAAGTTTGTTACTGCTATTTCTTGGAAAGTACTGGATGGATCTTTCTCAAATTTCATATGCAGTTTCCCCATGGTCCCTAGTTGTGCATTGTACCTTTTTTGGACTGATTTGAATTCAAGATGGCAGACAGGTGGCCATCTTGGATTTTGAATGTGAAAGTTTGTTACTGCTATTTCTTGGAAAGTACTGGATGGATCTTTCTCAAATTTCATATGCAGGTTCCCTTTGGTTCCAAAGTAGTGCATTATACCTTTTTGGACTGATCTGAAATCAAGATGGCTGTTAGGCAGCCATCTTGGATTTTGAGAGTAAAATCTTTTTACTGCTATATCTGAGGTAGTCCAGGATGGTTCTTTCTGATATTTCATAGATATTGTTTTCCCTTGGTCCCTAGTTGTGCATTGTACCTTTTTTGGACTGATTTGAAATCAAGGTGGCCCACAGGCAGCCATCTTGGATGTCGACAGTAATACAGCACAAGCATATTGTCCATTATCCACCTGTAACTGACTGCTATCTAATAATACTTTGGGATCTTTTTCAAATGATATTTGCTAATAGGTGCTTAATAAAAATATCTTGTGCCATCATTGAGTACATTCAATGAAGACCAGTTCATGAACATTTACAACAACTGTAACAAACAAAAAAAAATCTTCAAGAACTGAAAAGAGATCCTCAAATGGTGGGCGCCAAGATCCCTCTGGGATCTCTTGTTGTAACATTTCAGGCATCTAGGGACAGATTTACAGTTATTAAATACATGCACTGCTAGTCTTTGTCAAGGCCCATCGGAAAGCCTAACCAGTAAGTCTGTGTTTTTCTCATAAACAAACAACAATGGTACAACTTGTCAAAATGGTAAACAAAAATGGCTCAACGTAAATACAGGCCAGAATGAAATCGGATATCATTTTAAAAAAAGCAATAAAGTGTCGATACTGTTAATGTTTATGGACCAATGTCCAGAAGAAACTTTCTGTTCTTCAGTCATCCATATTGGTGTTTCAGGGCAGGCACAGAAATTGTGTCTCGAGCTGCCAAAGACAGGGTGGGACATTATCTACAGGCTCTCAGGCAAAACTTCGCTGGTAAGATAATTGTCAACTCAAACAAAAATTTGCAAGGCAAATTATTAACTCAGACAAAACTTTGCTGATAAGAGAATTGTCAACTTCGACAAATCTTCACATGTGAAGGAACTATTGACTCAAAGACAAAATTTTGGTGGTTAGAGAATCATCAGCTACAGATTCTATAAGGTGAAATCTGTAGCGATATTGTGTATAACTCTTGGATTAGTGTTGTATACAGGTTTCCAGGTCATATTCATTTACCAGTTGCAGATATTTGTGTGCATGCTTATTTTTCTTTGAAAATAAGATAAAATAATCGCTTCAAGTGAAATATGTATTTGATTTATCAGTGTATAAGAAACATGAACTTTGTGTTCACAGATTGCTTGACAGACATCAGACAGAATCTAGCAGCTCCACGATTGGTTGGTAAACAAGACAGTTCAGCACAGCTCTCAGACCTGCTGCACTCAACTCAGTCTGCTATACTGGAGCAAATCAAATCAGTTCTGGGCAATCTCCAAGTAAATACTATTTTGTTACTTTGCTGGTAACTTTCTGTATGAAACAGCAGAGATTTTCACTGTAAATAATAATCTTTATGTATTCTTTATCCAATCTGTCAGTATGTTTGTCAATTAAATGTATGAAGATTTTAAAAGCGTAGTTTATGTTAAATGTTGTCTGATAAAATGGAAATGCCATTGAAAGTGACATTTTGTGTGTCTGGCAAATTTTGATATGAGTGTGACTGGTGAATTTTTGTATGAATGAGGCTTGGGTATTTTTATGTTTGACTGGTGAATTTAGATAGGGTTGTGACTAGCAAATTTTGGCATAAATGTGACTAGAATATTTTGACATTAATGTGACTGCTGTATTTGTTTTTAAGGCATTCACAGCATCAGACATTACATTTGCGATGAAGCCATATTTCCGTGGCCCATTCTGTACTATTGATGTGAGGGAGGGACTGATTGTTGGATTTCTGAACCACATCAATTCTGTGTGTGAGGTAAGTACCATGCAACCAGGATACTTAAGTCTGAGGTAAGTGCCATGTTACCAGTGTACTTAAGTCTGAGGTAAGTACCATGTTACCAGTGTACTTAAGTCTGAGGTAAGTACCATGTTACCAGTGTACTTAAGTCTGAGGTAAGTACCATGTTACCAGTGTACTTAAGTCTGAGGAAAGTACCATGTTACCAGTGTACTTAAGTCTGATGTAAGTGCCATGTTACCAGTGTACTTAAGTCTGATGTAAGTGCCATGTTACCAGTATGCTTAAGTCTGAGGTAAGCATAATGTGATAAGTATACTTAGGGCTGAGGTAAGTACCATGTAACCAGGATACTTAAGTCTGAGGTAAGTACCATGTAAACAGTATACTTAAGTTTGAGGTAAGTACCATGTTATCAGTATACTTAAGCCTGAGATAAGAATATTGTTGTTAGTATACTTAAGTATGAGGTAAGTATTAAAGTATATATACTATTATAAACTATTGTTTTTGAGATAAGGAATTAGAGACCAAAACTTTATCAGAGTAAACTGCCATCAGACATGAAATAAGAATATGTTTATACATGAAGCAAAGTTCATTATATTGGTCTGAAATGTGGAAGACATTGCTAGAAGATTTTATATATCTGTGATGTGTATTCCAGGAGTTCTGTGAAGGAACTGGTGACCGTGGATCAGTACCACCAGCATTACTCCTCATTCTATCACGGCTGTGTCTTGACTTTGAGGCTTCTACCATATCCTACCTGGTAGGTAACTTTAAACATCATAGAGGGTAGCAAATTCATTTTCAAAAGATATGGTTAATTTATTAATTTATCTTTCTTATCTATTAAGAATAAGGAAGTCTTCACACAAGGAAAGTTACATGGAAACATTTCAGGGAACTAGAAAGACAACTTTATGTCCAGACAAGTAATATAGCAAATTTCTCATCTGTAGAACTTACCATTTCATTAATCAAATAATGTTGTTTTCTTTTTCAAGCATTGTGTTGAGAAGAGTGAATTTTTAGGTCAACTGACCAAAGGGTCTGATGACCTATTGCGATCGCCTTTTGTCCGGTGTCGTACGTCATCCTTTGTAAACATTTTCAACTTCTTCTCAAGTTCTACCTGTCTCATTGAGCTGAAACTTACATGAAATGATCATGACATGACACATATTCAACTTCTTCTCAAGTTCAATATTCAATCTTGTATTTTATGTCAGATGACCGTTAAGGCCCATGGGTCACTTGTTAACATTTTGCTATCTATATTTTAATGAACTTTATATCACTGATGAGATTCTATATGATAAAATCTGTCTGCTATAGTTGACCTTGACTGAGGAGCAGTTTCTGTTGGAGGAGCACTCGAGTCACACACTGACCCCTGTGACTGACCTCTGTAACAAGGCCAAGGATACAGCCCAACGCCTTCTTAATCACTACGTCAAAGTCCAGGGTCTTTCCATATCACAGGTTAGTGACAGTTTATTGGTCAAGATTTGGTCAAATAAAAATTTCAATTGATTGAAAATCTACAAAATAAAAATCTTGAAATCTAAAATTTTTAAATCTGACTTTATGAATCCATTCTTTGTATATTGCTAATTATTCAAGTGAGAGATGTATGTCATTTTTCAAACTTAAAAACATGATGTCAGGGGTTTATTGTGATGGGAAAATTTTTGGGAATGTGTATTTGTAAAAAAATACTTTTGTGATGTAAAATTTGCTGAAACTTGAAATGGAAGTTTTTTAGTAGGCAGTAGCTGATGATTATGTTTGTTACACAGATGCTTAGAAAAAGTGTGGAAACCAGAGATTGGCTGAACACTATTGAGCCACGGAATGTACGTGCAGTGATGAAGCGTGTGATTGAGGACATCACAGCTATAGACATCCAAGTGGGACAGTTATATGAGGAGGGTTGTCGTAAGGAGCGGAGTAGTGACTCGAGTCGACGAACACATCCTCACAGCTACAGTGTATCACAAAATAAGAAACCTGGGCAGTGGAACTATGCACCCAGGTAAGAGTTGAACAGCCCCCTGTCCCTCCCACAGACTCATAGCTACAGTGTATCACAAAATAAAGGCACTTTTGCATAAGCAGGTGACACGGTTAACCCAGTTGAACCTGCAAGAAAATTGCCAGGTACAGATGGACTGAGGCTGGACTGCCGAATGTTTAGCACATGCAGTTTGAAGGGTCCAGCCATACCTGTCGAAAACTAACTTGCTGAATATCATTAGTTTTCAGAATTTCAGAATGAAAAGTAAGGTCAATGCACTCATATATTTCCAGGAGCTTTGTACTATACAGTATGAGTGAAATGTGAAATGGATGGTATCCTAATTTAGTTAATTGACTGATGTTTGACAGGAAATCCTGAAACTGTACATTTTGAGCTTTACATATATCAGGCCAACATCTGCTACCAGAGTGTTCATGTATATTGGAATAAATCCAGACAACCTGAACCATTTCAATCAGGATACACTACTGCAGCTTTAGATTCACTGCCAGTAGAACTATGCTTTCCGCTTGAGTTGCATAGACCCCTCCCCCACCCCTTCCACAGCCTCATAGCTACATTGTATCCAAAATAGGACTCTTGACCAGTAGAACTATGCTCCCAGGTAAGAGTTGTATAGCCCCTCCCGCTTCCACAGTCTCATAACTACATTGTATCACAAAATAGGACTCTTGGCCAGTAGAACTATGCTCCCAGGTAAGAGTTGTATAGCCCCTCCCCGCTCTCAAAGCCTCGTGGCTATAGAGTATCATACAATAAGAAACCTGGGCAGTGACTTAACATACAGTGTACAGGGACTTGGATACCATACCTTAACTGTTGAAACCTGCTAAATATTACTTACTACTGCTAATACAATGTATTTAACATTTCAATCGTTATGATACATTCTAATGCTTGTATTAATCACTATTATGGCCAAATGATAGTTATGGTACCTGCCTCATTATGGGAGGAAACCAAGCGTACTTGGAAAGTATGCATTTAATATAAACTTTATTTATTTTACAACAGTTGCGAAACAAGTTATGTCAACTTATACTAATCAGTCTTGTTGGCCCCGATGTAAGCACGCGAGGGGTCTTATTGTCGGAGGAAACCAGAGTACCCGGGGAAATCCACGTAGTCGGGCAGGTGACCTCTTACCTTTTCACGTCCGTTCCGGGAATCGAACCCTGGTCGGATAGGTTAAAGGCTAGTGCGTTACCACTGTGCCACCCGACCACCCAAATATGCATTTGGTCTCATAGGTAACCTTATGCCTTCTCATATCTTGTCCAGGAATGAAATCTCAGCTATCTTGGTGTAAAGATATGTACGCAATTTACTGTACCACTTGACTACCCAACATAAACAATTAAACCTGTCTATAAATGTCACTCAAGGTAGCAAAGAAAAGTGACCTTTATATACAGGTAGCTCTTATATAGAGTTTAAATTACTATGAATTGTGTTGTATTGGAACCCCAAACAAGTGCCCTTTATTGACAAGTATTTGTTATATACAGGTGGCCTTTAAGACAGGTTTGGCTGTGTAAAGGTTAGGTTTACATTATATGAGTGACCTGTCTATTCCAGTATTGATAATAGTCTCATGAGCAACATCCAAAAGCTATTCTCCGAGAAGATTGAAATATTTAGCACAGTAGAATTCTCCAAAGTTTCTGTCCTGACCGGAATCGTAAAGATAAGTCTCAAGGTAAGTAGGCAGATCGTTAAAACTTTCTCCTTGAATATGGTAAAATCATAATTTCATGGGGTTCAGGATTCCTGTTTTTTTTTCAAACACTTAAAAAACTATTTTTTTGACACTTGATTTCATGGGTAAATATAGCACAATAAATCTACTTGCTCTAATTTTAACAGATCATTGACATCAATTCATGGATAAAAAATTCATCATTAACAATTTTTCAGTAAAATTAAAACATACAGATATGTTAGATTAAACAGTATGTACACATCATTGAAAATAATTAAGAAATGTTTTCTCTTGAACACGATAAAGTGCTGAAATCTTTTGTGACTCTTTATTTCCAATTTGTTGCTCATTCACCTGAAAAAGGGATGGTGTTGAAATTTCTGTGCTGTTTTGTTGTGCAGACTTTCATGGAGTGTGTGCGACTGCGAACGTTTGGCCGCTATGGGTTACAGCAGATCCAGGTGGATACTAATTATCTCCAGCTTTACCTCTGGAGATTCGTGTCTGATGAAAAGTAAGTATCTCCCCAGCAGTAAAATTAGACATTATTGAATGAGGCTTTGAGAGGAGTGAAATATTGAATTATTTAGTTATATTAATGAAATATTGAAATATTTTGCCCTGTCAATGAAATATTGAAATATTTAGTTGTATCAATGAAATATTGAAATATTTAGTCCTGTCAATGAAATAATATGAAATTCTATGAGCAGCTGTTGACTTTCTATTTTTAACTATAAAACATATTGAAATCACTGTCTTTCAAAAAATATGAAAGCTGGATACACAATCTTTCAATATATATGTGAAACCTATCACTTTCTTCTGGTCACATGTTTTTTATCACCTTCCTCTTTATGTTACAGTTTAGTACAGGTGCTGCTAGACGAGATTGTGGGCAGTACCGTACACAGATGTCTGGACGCAGTGTTAATGGAGCAAAGTGTATGTATTATTTCTGCCACAATATTGGTTCATCAGTCAAGGTCATGATAAACATATAACTATGGTAACAATACAGACTTTTTCCTACCAACCCAAAGTCAAGATTCTAAGTATCATGTAACCATGTTCACAATACATGCAGTTTCCTACCTACTAAAGGTCAAAGTCATAACATGAAACCAGCCTAACAATACTGGCTGTTTCCTATCAACACCAAGTCAAGGCTGTGATTATTATGTAACCATGGCTGCTTCCTATGACCACGGTGAAAAATATATGCTGCTTCCTATCAACCTGGCAAGGGAGAATTAGTCTCAAACTTTCCTGGGGTTGTTGTCATTACTTAGAAAAAGATTGCACAAATTCAAATTCCCAGCATTTTTAGGTCTGTCATCGTGCGTCGTGCTTCGTTAACTTTTCACATATTCAACTTCTTCTCAAGAACCACTGAATGGATTTTGACCAAACTTGGCACAAAGCATCCCCATGGGAAGCCACTTCAAGTTTGCGAAGAAAAAGGGGATGGCCCCAATAGGGTCCCAGGAGGGGGAAAAAGGGGGTAAAATTAGGTAAATCTTTAAAAATCTTCTTCTCATGAACCAACCGTCAGATTAAATTCATATTTGATATTTAGGGTCCTTATGGCAAGGTCTACAAAGTTTGCAAATGAAAAAAAAAATTGGGTCAAAAAATGGCCCCACTAGGGTGCGCTCAAAAGGGTCAAAATTTCGACTTTGACCGATTTCAACCAAATTTGGTAGAAAGCATCTCTTAGTGAAGGACATATGAAATTATGTTGAAAAAAAGTGATCATGTCCCCTTTGGGGCCCATAAGCGGTGTAAAAGGGGCCATATGTAAAAACCTTCTTTCAATGACTTCTTCTCAAGAACCGTTGGATGGATTTTGACCAAACTTGGCACAAAGCATCCCCATGGGCCTCTTGTAAAAGTTCTGACAGGGATGACAGGGATAACCATTTAATATTAACCCCCGATAATTCTACAATTTTACAATACCTTTCCTGTCATCAGATTTGTAGGTAATATATAACTGAGAACCAATATTGACATCCTGCTTGTGACAACTTGGTATGGTCAGTTACATTGGAACAGTTCAGCCTGACTTTTGCAGATTACACGTCTGTGTTCAGTTTGTAAAGAAATTTCCTTATTTTTGTAACAATCATTTTGTTGACGACTGGACAGATGTCTGACAAAAAATTTTGTTTCATTTACAGGTGATTGATCTAATTTGTGAAAGGGGATGACTGTCCTAAAGGATAGACGTCAACAAAGGTTGTGTGAGTGAGAGAGATAGAGTGCTAAGTTTGGAGGTTAAACAATTATACAGAGGATATATGTGTCTGTGTGACATCTAGAGTGCTGAAGTTTTGAGGTTAAAAAAATTATACAGATGATGTGTGTGTGTGTGTGTGTGAATGTTTGTGTAATTTCTAGCCAATGCTGAAGTTTGGAGGTTCAACAAGTTATACAGAGAATATAAATGTATGTGCTTACATCGGACAGTGAGAGGTGGAGTTAGAAACTACAACTGTAACATTTGTGCAATGAACTGATCCTTTGTTGGATAATCAGGACATTTCTGGAGACATGTATAGTGTGCTTTGTTGGATTATCAGGACATTTCTGGAGACATGTATAGTGTGCTTTATTGGGTTTCCCAGCTTTGATATGAATGATATCATTCTATGATAACGATATAGTAACTATTAGCCACTTTAATTATATGAAAATTTGAGGGGAAGTCATAATCTCGGTTGCTATCATTATTTGGACAATAACTGCAGGAACTCATATTTTTCTGTTCAACATCAAAATGGACCTAATAAATGTAATGTTTCTGAGGATACTTAGCAATAATTCTTCTCCATATTCATAGCAAGGCTGCTTGGAAGTAAACAGAAAATTGTTTATAATATTGAGAATTATTACAAAAAAAAAAAAAAAAAAATGATGCAAGGTCAAGGAAAGCACTTGAATCAATAATGGTTTGTTACAACTGTCTTAAATGTTAATATCTGAGAAAGTGCAGATAGGAAATATCCTGTATCATTGTAAAAGGAAATATCAGTGATTTATTGGTCATCTGTAGGTAGTCCTGTTATTAGGGGTAATGTCCATATTGGAATATGGTCTCAATGATTTTCATAATTTAAGTAAAATGTTGCTTTTATAACATAGTCGCCCAGTGCTTTTATGTATAGCACGCAGTTTTTAGAAATGCTGATATTTTAACAGTAACAACAATTAAATATTATCTTGTTATGAAATCTTGTTTAAATATTTATGTGTGGCCAACTATTGGCAAATATTTAAATGTTAATCTTCAATGAAAAATAAAATGTATTTATTGGTTCAATTTCTTTTACTTTATTATTGCCAGTTCATGATAATAACAATTATATTTACATGATTTGCATCTCTTAAAAACATTTCATGCAATAAATACAAAATATATTAAAGATGAAATATAACTAGATATTGAAAATGTTTTAAAATACAATTCTAATTTTGTATGAAGATATTACTATTGAAACATTAACAATGTCATATTCTAACCTGTTCGTTGCAGTAGTGTATGGCCTATATATAGAAAATCTAGACATGACAACCTCCGAACTAAGATCAAAACCAGCACAATATGGATTCTTTTCCATTTCTCTTCATAATGCAGAGATTTTCCACTGTGTGCTGTTCTGATCCATTCTGCATGTGTAGCTATTTCATATGTTTTTTACTCAATGACATATGTAGTGTAAAACGTCGGACACCTATTAATGACAAGGAGAATTCTTATCTCACTTATTCAGTTGATTAATCATCTTTTGTTGAACTGTTTCATCAAGAAAGCAGTTACATAATATATTTAATAGTCACCTTTGAATTCAACTTTTTTCATGATTATCACAACTGATAAGTAGAGAAAGAATTATCAATATTAAAGATACCAGCTAATTGATTTTTTTTTACTTGGGTATAACAACTGATTATTTCCCCTGATTCTAGCCATGCAAATTTCTGAAGGATTTACATGAAATGAGATATGGTAAAGTCAAACCTTACAAAAAACTACTGTATTGAATACTAACCTGTAGCAGATTTTACATTTAAAAATTGTTTCAAACAGTGAAATATGCCAAGTCTTACAAAATCTCTACCTGAAGCTGGATTATTAGTTTAAAAATTAAGTTAGATAATAGGGATGCCAACCTGTATACAAATTGTAGCAATCCTGTAAGGATAGACAAGAACATAAATAGGTTTACTATATTATGATATAGGACATATGTTACAGGTAAATCGACCTGTGTCAAGATTTGTTTTTAAACTGGTTATACAATAGTCAACATGACAAATCGTTTGCAACATTTATCTCATCCTGGCAATAGAGAGTTTTGGGTAAGACTACAGGTTGGACATAAGTCTTAAATTCATGATCAATTTCAGCAACATCACCAAACTATGTAGCTTGGAATCATCTACACAGTACTATAAAAGTTTCATCATTCAATGGAAACATTACGGTATGTTACTAGTTCTCTGCATGATTTTACCATGTTCTCAAAATATATGGTTTTCCAACAAAATATTCATAATTTTACAAAATACTGTGAAAGCTTCCATGCTTTTACAAAGTGCTATTAAAGTAATGGACTTCTACACAACAAAGTTAAAGTTTTCACACTGAGCACGGAATACTTAAGCAAAGAGTACAGTAAATGTTAACTTCCTAGTTTCAATGTGACTTGTGCTGCAGAGGTACACTATTTAGTAGTTATCAGAACAGTTATTATCATTATTATGACATTCTGAATAGCCCTTCAACACATCAAAGTTCGTTAGAGCCATATTCTCAATGAAAATGAAAAGCTAATCAATGATAGCACGTTTGTAGTTTTGTTCTCGTTAAAACATGAGGTTTATATATCTAAACCTTGTATGACTGAAGCAAGCACTGAAGGTCTTCAAATAAAGCAAAATGAATTATTATGGCACAGTAACACATTGCAGACAATCAAGCACTGTCCATGATTACTGATAAATGTACAGAGGTGACATTACTATGTGGACTATGAAGGTGCTGTCTCCTTTTGAAAATATGTTGTCCATGATTATTCATTAATGTACAGAGGTGATATTATTGCATTGGTTATGAAGGCACTGTCTCCTTTTGAGGATATTTCGTCCAAGTTTTTTGTCTGCCTTTAGATTTTTCAGATGTTCCCGGGGAAAAGTTGGGCACATCAGGAAAGTCAAGTTCAGAAACCTCATTGGAGTTATCTACTGTTTTCCCCTCATCAAATGGTGAACCAGTCTGCTTCTTTTTGTTAAGACCAGGTGATAAGCCGTTTGGATTTGGTGAGGTACCAAAGTCAAGATCTGAAACATGAATAGCAAGATTCCATAACAATTCAATGGAAAAATAACCATCTTGACATAATTGTATCTTAGCATTTGTCAGCACACTGGCTCTGGAGTAGAGGATTATTCATCGGAAACTCTTTTAGGGAACAGTCTTTTATAGTGTGAGAATATCTCAAAAAACTGTTAAGAGTAATACAATATTTTGAAAAACTGTCTCTAGAGTAACGGAAAATCTCTAAAAGTTGTATCTATTGTAGGAGAATCTAGGGATGCAGTCTGTACTGCATCAGACAAGTAAAAAAAAAACCACAATGAAGTCGGAGAATATCTTCAGGGATGCAGTCTCTAATGTATGAGATGATCTTGGGAAGTTGTCTTTGAAGTAGGAATCTCTCCACGGATGTAGTCAAAATTTCAATGGAATCTGTCTTTTGGTACAGGACTTCAAATGAAGCTGTGGAGGATAGATCTGTCTTAAGTACTAAACTATCTCTCGACCAGGTCCATCTTTCTTTAGTAGGAGACTGTCTCTCGGGTGACACTTTCTTTAGTAGGAGACTGTCTCTAGGGTGACACTTTCTTTAGGAAGAGACTGTCTCTAGGGTAACACTCTTTAGTAGGAGACTATCCCTAGAATTACTCTCTCAATAGCACCAGATTATCTCTATGATAGTTCTGTAGTAGGAGACTATCTCTGAAGGAGCTACCTGATATCAGGGGAATCTGTCTGCCAGAATATGTCTAGAGTAGGTAATTAACTCTGTAAGAGGACAGACTATCATCTCAGCCAAATGGACTTTTTCTCACATTACCTGCTAGGAGATCTGCTATGCCCACAATGTCATCTTCTAGTGGGACTGGAGTTTGAGGTGTTGAAACACCAGTAACTGAAGGTGATGATGGTATGTCACCCCTTTGTGGTGAGAGAGTGGCTCCCTCTGGTGACACTAAAGTGCTGTGCTGTGGTGATGACGCCTGTTCTCCGATCAAACTCTCTAGCTCCCTCTCAAGGTCATCTGAGCTTACATCTCCTATTCTGGACATGTTCATTTCTGACTCAATTTCGTTCTGTTCATCCAATATCTAGAGTCAAAGATTAAAAATAGTTTTTATTCATATGCACATGATTAATATGAATAGGAGCAAATCAGTAGATACAGATAAGATCAATTGATGAAATAGATTAATGAGTGAGATAGATTAATGGGGGAGACATATCAATGGATGAGACAAACTGAGGGAAACAGTTAATGTTTGAGACAGACTATTGGGAGAGACAGTTGATGTTAGAGATATTTCAGTCGTTAAGGCAGTTCAATGGATGCATGATTAATGGGAGAGATAATTAAAATTGAGACAGATCAATGAACAAGATAGATCAATTGGTGACAGCAAATGGTTGAGACACTTAATGGTTGAGACAGATCAATGGTTGAGACAGTTAATGGTTGAGACAGTTAATGATTGAGACAGATCAATTGTTGAGACAGTTAATGGTTGAGAGAGATCAATGGTTGAGACAGATCAATGGGAGAAATAGTTAATGGTTGAGACAGATCAATCAGTAAGAACAATCCACTAACCTCTGCTAAGTTGTCCATGGTTTTATGAACTTCATCCAGTCCTGTTTTATTTGTTAAGGTTTTCAGAGCACCAGAACCAGCCTGTAATGCTTTCAAAACCTGAAAAGATAGAAAGTTACATATCAACAAAACAAGGAAATTAGACAACCCTTATTACATTCATTTTGAGGGCTGAGAATACTGTATATTTGTTTCGAGAGAAGAGAATACGTTTCACCAACAATATATTACAACAACTTATAACCAGGAAAAGAACAACTGTAAATACATTGTTTTCAATACACTAATGCATTCCACTTTTAAACACAAACTACTCAGAGTCACAGAATTAAAGTTAGGTGATGACAGGTATATTGAGAAACCCTGCATATATTAAGTGATTATGAAAGTAATTACCATTTCATCAGATGCTGCATGCTGTATTCGACTGAGGATATCGTCAATCATATCCAGTGAACTAGACAGCTTACTCATTCTGTTCTGTGTACGTCGTCGCTGTCGCAGTGATCGCAATGCCTGGGAGACAAGTGTACAGATGATTTAGAATCGGAAGAAAGTATTTCTTGTTTTATACAAGTCCTATAGACACAATCATGTATAGTCTGTATACAACTACCCTCAGCTCAATTTATAATAACAGGCATTAAAGAAATTCAGAAAAAAAATTGTTGGTTGGGTTTATTGCCTGTTAACAGCCAGGGTCATTTTGAGGCAGAGTTTCCTTGTAGTTGCTGGTGGCTATCTCAATGAACAACAAGAGTCCCATAGGGCCTGCATCGCTCACCTGGATCTTAAAACCTAACAATGGAATAATTGCTTATAGGTTGGGTATGTTAAATATTCCAAAATTACACCTCAGTCCCTCAACCTCTTTGGTAGGGCAAGACCACAGGATAAATTCTTATAACATGACTGTCTTTCTCTTTAGATGCCCAGTAAGAGTTTATATGAATATCAGGTTGGGATTTCAACTGATTCAAAACCATGACCCACAAGTTATGTCCAAAGAGGTATGCCAAATCCAAGGGCCAATTCTTACATTATGAATGTTTTTATCTCTATATAATTCTATATATGGTTATGGAGTGGAAATCTCAGTTGTTTAAAAGACCCAGAAGTTAAGTTCATTATTTATACAAAATTGATTCCCTTTCACCCAACAATTCTTTAGACCAAATTGACAAAACTGAATCATTCCTACAGTAGTAGAATTTTTCTATTTCCTCTTTTGGGCCCCAGAGCCGGAACCTACCATTTACCTGGTATACTAAAATTGTTCCCCTTCCCTCAAAGACCAAATTTAATAAAAATCCTGTCAGCTGTTTATGACTAACGGTGATTTTTAAGAAAAAGGTTGACAGACAGATGCTGTGGACCAGGTGAGCCAACAATTGTCTACCTCACTGAACAACAATTGAGGTCCGTGGCATGCCATCCAGAGCAATTAGGGTAAAGTGTCTTGCCAAATGACACAACTTCTCAACTTCCTGAAAGACACTACCACGGGTGGTGATTGTCCAACCACACCCCTCAGATCATCACATGAGGTTTTGGCCAATGCTCTGGGCTATTCCCACCCCCATAAAATCATCAACATTGTTATCTATCAACATTTATCAACCTGTCATATATCATGCAGTACAATGAAAGGATCCAGCTATTGTTACACCAATAGCTGTAAATTTATAACTACCCATCACCTGAGGTGTTATACACATGAATTGTCATATCACATCATTCTGTGAAAAAAAAATGACTACAGGGTATTACAATAGTCAAATTATAAACACGAGTCTTATGCTGTCATTAGTTCTTTTCACACCTTATCACACTAAATTATACGGAGGCTGATGAAGACAGGCCACAAGTCTGGATTAAACAAGAAAGAAAAGTCTAAGACCCCATTATAATATCATTATGTCACTGAAATATCTCATATACTGGTGCAGGCAGGTAAGAAAAATGGTTTAATGGATAGTTATTATCTGTAGCAACAAGTAAGAAGAAAACAATATAAAAAAGGTAGATAGGAAGCACACATTAAAGATTGTAACGCGGAAACAACATAGTCTAAACTTACATATTGTTTCATGTCTTTTCTTTTATGCATTTTTGCTTCTACTGTCAACCTAAAACAAAGCAACAGTTATGCCGGCACCAATAAAAATAACAAAACCTTGTATGATAATGTTTGGTTAAAAAAATGAAAAGCCATAATTGTTTCAACACAAAATTTGACCTGAAATATTCCCAGTAGGCACACTTATTCCAAATTTGGTCTTAAGAAATATTCACTTAGCAAACAAAGGGCATATAACTATGTAAATAAAGTGATGCAGGACAAATATGGGACATATAACTCTGTGTATAAAGTGATACACTGCAAAAAAGGGCATATAACACTATATAAAGTGATGTATAACAAACAAAGGGCACATTACTCTGCATAAACATTGAGAAATGAGACTGCACTTCAATATGAAAACTTTTCCATTTAAAGGGCTACTCATACTACACTTATTTCAACACTTAAACGGTGATTTACAGTAAATGATATTGATGACAAGGGTTTGTAAAGTTAATTAAGTGTTTACAATTTTTTATGATAGTTTGGCTAAAAGTTAATTCTGAATTATCACAGCTCTGTTTTAATAAAGTTAGGGTTGCAACTCAATGCTAGATGACACAACTTTGTTTTATGATAGTTATGCTAAAACGGCCACAATTCTATGTAAGATACTACTGAATGGACACAACAAAGTTATGTGAAAACACTACAACTAAATGCTAAACAAAATTTTATCTGAATAGAATGATACATAAATGTTACAGCTCTGTAAAAATTGGTGCAAACAACAACATTTCAGCTAGCAACCTTCTTTCAACACAAGAGTATGGTTTATCATCACACTGACAAATTACGGTATTTATTGATACTGTATTAGACTACAAGGCAGGTGTTACCCCTATCAACACCTTGTAACAGGTTTTCTTGAATATTTCAGTGCTATTGACACATTATAGTCTATTCAACAGAAGTTTTACCACAAATCTAAAATCAAACCAGTTAAATTGATTAAACACCATTAATGTAAAAAAGATTCTGAAGCAGGTCATGTGAGGACGGTGAATCATTATGTAGATTGTGATACATCACTTACCTATCCACATCTTTTCCAAGTTTCTCAATTCTGTCAAGAAGGACCTGGGATGCTTTCTTAAGACTGTAACATTAAGGATGCTAAAATTAATTTTTAACCATATAATATTACCTCTATGTTAACAGTGGCTCACATGTTTGGGTGACTACCAAACTTACTGAATTATTACTCAACAGGTAAGTATAAAATTAAACATGGACCATTGCATTACAATAGATGAATTATAAATTTTGTTTTAGATATAGAAATTGAATTTCTATGTTATCAAAGATTAATATCTTTGAGGTTAAGTTTATACCGAGACATGTAGAGGTGTTGTACCTATGGATCTGGATATCTTGTTCTGTCACAGATCCTGCTGTAGACTCTGATCTTTTGGGAAACTTTACAAGCTGGTAACAGATAACAAACTAGTAAGTACCATACAATTTAAATACTTTGTCATAATTTGTTTTAAAAGGTGTTGCCTCAATATAAGGTATATTTCACTGAATTAGTCTGATAACATTTCAACACTTTTAATTAATTACCAGATTTTATCTGTATAGTGTGATCATCATTAATTAACAGACCTAGAATTAATTACCAGATTTTATTTGTATAGTGTGATCATCATTAATTAACAGACCTAGAATTAATTACCAGATTTTATCTGTATAGTGTGATCATCATTAATTAACAGACCTAGAATTAATTACCAGATTTTATTTGTATAGTGTGATCATCATTAATTAACAGACCTAGAATTAATTACCAGATTGTATCTGTATAGTGTGATCATCATTAATTAACAGACCTAGAATTAATTACCAGATTGTATCTGTATAGTGTGATCATCATTAATTAACAGACCTAGAATTAATTACCAGATTGTACCTGTATAGTGTGATTGTCACTATTTAACAGACCTAGAATTAATTACAAGATTGTATCTGTATAGTGTGATCATCATTAATTAACAGACCTAGAATTAATTACAAGATTGGTATGTGTAAAGTGTGATCATCATTAATTAACAGACCTAGAATTAATTACCAGATTGGGATGTATAAAGTATAATCACCACTAATTAACAGACCTAGAATTAATTACCAGATTGTACCTGTATAGTGTGATCATCATTAATTAACAGACCTAGAATTAATTACCAGATTGTACCTGTATAGTGTGATCATCATTAATTAACAGACCTAGATAGTGTGATCATCACTAATTAACAGACCTAGAATTAATTACCAGATTGGTATGTGTAAAGTATAATCACCACTAATTAACAGACCTAGAATTAATTACAAGATTGTATCTGTATAGTGTGATCATCATTAATTAACAGACCTAGAATTAATTACAAGATTGTATCTGTATAGTGTGATCATCATTAATTAACAGACCTAGAATTAATTACCAGATTGTATCTGTATAGTGTGATCATCATTAATTAACAGACCTAGAATTAATTACCAGATTGTATCTGTATAGTGTGATCGTCACTAATCATCAGATCTAGAATTAATTACCAGACTGGTATCTGTATAGTGAAGTATGACCCTCTTCTCCTTGGCCAGTTCCTTCAAGACAAGGTAGAATTCACCCTCTGTATTACAAAGCTGTTTACATCTGTCCCACAGGTCTGAGTATTCTATCACAGAGTCAGTTATATCACAGTCCATGCATGCACACTGATGTTTACACACCTCCTCACATTTTGTCTGAAAAAATTAACAACACCTATATCATTATCATCAGACATTCACTAATTTAATTATATTAGAAAGTTAAAAATACTGTATAAGTTATTGAATCAGTTTGATCACAGGTTACAGCTACCCCAAGTGTGTATAGAGCTACATGTAAACAAGTATTACACAAAATGATAATCATTCCACCACATTGCACTTTCCATCTCTTGTGGACTAAAGACAATATAGGACTAAAGACAGATAATCATGTAGTAATAATGAATGCAATCATTCAAAAGATAAAGACCAATGGAGATAGAAATTGCAATACAATGTACACTGATATAATACATATATATACACAAGGTTTTCCATAAGACCCGGTCACCGGCCAATTTGACCGGCTACTTTGATCATTTGGCCGCCTACATCAATCCAGTTCTGTAATAATGTTCCGTACACGACTACCTGTACACGGCAGGCCAGCCTGCTAATTTCACTACACAGCCTACTACTAACAAAATTATGGAAAACCCTATATATATATAGACAAATTCAATCTAGGATCTCAAATTGTTTACACTGTAACAGTTCTGACAAGGTTCTGGAGAGACAATATGTTATTAAGGTAATGTTCAGAAACAGTAATTATCTGTACATATTGTAATTTGTGACAACATACACAAGATCACAGTAATGATGATCAACTAATGAATATGTTAATTTACCAAGTCTTACCTTCAGGGCATCAACAACGACTAGTTTTGTGTTGGATATTGTTGATTTTGTCATCAGATTCCATCCGATAGAAATGGGAACTTTTAGAAATGTATCCACACCCCAGGACACCCAGCCTCTCTTGGTAGCACCTTGTTTCGATGGGGACATCTCTGTATCTGTTATTGGTTTCAGCTTTCCTGTTCTGAAATTAACCAGTGCAAATAGGTACAGCAGAAATTTCTGGTGAAGTTTCCAGTTTTGAAAGAGAGTTGGAAAGACTCAATTTTCATTGATAAAGATAATCAGAGCTACATAATGTTTTATACCTAGTAAGGTTCTACTATAATACTCATACTCATTTCTACTTCAGGAGTATCAGACAGATGTTTCATTTTCAAACATTTCCAAGACCTTATAATCAGAATGGCGACCTGTGTGAATAACTCCAGAAAATGCCTACACATAAAACTAGTAAGGTGGCCTACACATTCTTATGCTTGGGCAAAAGTCCAATATAGATAAGGCATACCTTAAAAATCAAATCGCTTGCCTGTGATTGAATTGAAACTGTACATGCATTGCAGATGCCATTTTTGTTTGCCTTTTCCCATTCAATGTGTGTGAAATAAATATGTCAATTTCCATTAAACAACATAGTATAGTACATTTCTATTTTTCAACATTTTCACAATCAAACACCTGATTTCATTAAAACATTAATTTAATGTTAACACAAGATTGAAGCCAAATGATTTTGGTATTTTATTAGTTATCACCAAAACTTCTTAGGGAAAAAAATCAATCATTGACATGGGTTAATTACATAACAAGGTTCTGATGAGAGTCTTACATCAAAAAAGAAGACCAACAAATTTTTGGTCTGCTGATGCAATAACATCACAATCGGTGTAGAAGACAAAAGAGGTGTCTACTCTTTAACTAAGTCTAAATTATCAGATGTATATAAATGTCCGTTTGTCACCATCACATCCTGAGTAAATCTCTGTTTCTTTTCTCACTTATTTAATTCACCCATATTACAAACAGAATATACACATTGTTTTTGTCTGTAATCATATAATAGTTCTAAGAAGCCAATTTTCTCCATTAAAGCACTACCATATTTATATGCAAGTATATAAGGACCTTTTAACTATGTTATACTTGTTGTGCCAAGATCAAATTTCAACATAAATGAAATATTAGACATCATCTGTGTATGATGATATAATCAGAGTCAATTATGAACAACAAACTTTGAATTTCCCTGAGTATAGTACCATAATTCGGTTCATGAGAGTGCAGCTTACAAACCTCTTCAAATGGCAGAAAAGTGGCTAAAAGAAATACAAAGTTACTTCCCTTACTTGTATGATACACATGTACATCAAACTGAGGATAGATTTCCAATGGAAATTGGAAGACTACTCTTGAACCAAACCAAATGTAGATTTGACACCAACACAAAAGTCTTTGTTTAATTGTTATTGGAGATTCAGTTGTGTTTAGTGCATAATGTGTCGGTTTTCCTCGGGTAATCTGGTTTCTTCCCTCAGTAAGCTCCCTTTGCACTTACATCCAGGCCATCAGGAGAGATTAGTATAAGTTGAAATAACCTGTCTTGCAATTGTTGTAAAATGAATAAAGTTTACATTTAAAACAACTATTCTTAATTTTTTCATGTTTTATACCACCAACCCTATCCTGATATCACACAACATCCACAAAAACCAATAATGCCACAATATAGACACTAACTGATATTGCAATCTCACACTGAAAAGAGTCATATGAAGAAATTTCTGATATTTTTTTTTCCAAAGCGAGCTACAACTCGACTACGCAAGAACTTTTTCTCCGTAAGATCAGCATCAACCTGGAACAAACTACCAGACCATATTGTTACTGCAAAAACTATCAATATGTTTAAAAAGGAGTTAGACCGTTACTAGAGGAATCATGAACTTTTCTTCAACTACAGAGCTGAAATAACTTAACTATTATTGAATTAATTGTATAAGAAACATAGCTAATGAGAGGCACATATTAATTTAATTTATTTATTATAGAATATAGTATCTTGAAACTCTAACATGTATTATTGAGTCTGGTATAGAGGACTCAAGCACGTCCTGAACTGGAAATAAACTTATCTTATCTTATATCTTATGTAAATCACTAGACTGAAATTTCTGTCTCTGAAATGACAATTTAATGTCAATATTCACATTTATCATGCCATTATTGATAATTACAATTTCATTAAAGACTATGCTCATCTAAATCACATACCACAAGCATAAACATGTATACATTTTTCCCCCTCAAAATTCGGTTTGATTCAATCTCTGAATGATCTTTTTCAACACTGCGTTACACAATAGGAAGATGATACGATAATGACTAACGCTACTCAAAAGCATACATGGTAGGTTTCATACCATAAATTTAGAATTTATCATCACATGTCCCTGTGCTACGGTGTGCATTTCACTAGTTTTCAATTGTTGTGCGTTAATGAAAAAGCAAAAATGGTATAGACAGTACGGTCTATGGCACTGCACGTCGAGAAAAATGAAATTGTACGGTAATAGAACATTAAGCTTTACCTTCTCATGTTATCAATCACTGAATTGAGACATGCTGGAATCTTTCCATTCCTCTGAAACCTACTTGGTAATGTCTCTACATCAATGACAATGTCACCACGATCTATGCAATCAGAAACAATGAGGTTGGACCAAAATGTCATTTTCTGATCCCATGAACTGGGATTCAACGACTTATCTCGAAACGGAGCAAACAAAACCGTCATTCTTGCATCGTCCTTCCAAGTTTCTGGAAAACGTGTCTGCTTTTCTGCCATAATTGAAGGAATGTCAAAACACATTAAAACTTAATCGACCTATATTCTCTCGTCTCTTCGTCATATTGAAGTCGCAAGTTGGACTTTAAAATTTAAGCGACGAACCATGTGTATTTGGTGCTTTTGTACTTGTGCTTAGTATGCTGTTCGAAAAAGCATTTCTATGATTAAGATCGAAACAGGAAATCTCGAGCGGGTTCTTCTCGCGATAAAATACGAGACTCCATATTCCTGAGGGAAAGGTGGGGGTGAGATGACGAAAGGATAGTTTCATATGACTTATAAAAGACATTTTCCTGTAATGCAAACCAAACTTTTTCACAATGAATTCCTTGCGGAGATGGCTATACAGACCAAAGGTATATAATTTTATTGTCAACTGTGATTCACAAACGTAAACTACGAAATTATGTTTCGATGACAAATGACATGTATTGTTACTTGTCTCTGTTTGATCACAAGGCGGATGTCGTATGGTTTCATATATGTCTCATTGTTAGATATGCTTAACTCATTAGGCGTATCATTTTCAAAGCAGTGTCTCCTTTATTTTTAAGATTAGTGTTATCTTTAGTGAAAACTCTTGACGTCATGGGAAAAGTCTCTGTTGTATACTTCTGTAACCATTTGGTGAATATTTATAAACATTTGGATTTGGGTATTTGGTTTGATACTTGTTTGTATACATGTGATGACTCAGTTTTAAAGGTGTACATTTAAAAGAATATAATGTAAAAAGTGTAACACTATATCAGGTGAAAATAACTTTCAAATTTTAAATCTTGTGATGTTGACCCAGATCAGGGTGTAACTAGAGAATCCAGGTAACTTTGACAGTTGCAATCAATCCTGGTAGTTATTGCTGAAGGGCATCTAGTGTAATATAACTTTAACACAAATTGTTAGTAATCACTTTCTTAGACTGGTGACAATTTTGCTTATGGAGTCATGCATTCTTTGTCAACTATATTTTAAAGAAAGTAATTAATATATCAACTTATTCTTTGATCAACTCAAGTATTAGCATGAGTTTCTGACTGAAAACAGTTTTTCTGGGAAAAAGAACATATGTGATGAAATGTGTCATGATGATGCATTTAGGGCTTTTTAATGAAATAAATACCAATATATGATGGTATATTGTGAACTAAACTGAAAATATAGCATATTTGAACCTGTTGTCGTAGAAAAGGAACGTAAATACAGGTCAGAGTGAGTTGTTTCTTTCCTGTCAAGTAAATAAGCATGGTTTCTCAGCTAAAAAAAAGCAATATGAGTGTCCTTGAATGTGACATCTAGGAAGGCTGTCAATACTAGCCAATTTATAGATTTTTTGTTTACATTTTCAATGTCTTTTAGTGTTTTTAAATAACATTTTTTGTGGTTCTCTGAACTTTGCTGCTGCTATTATTTACACAGTACACTGTAGGTTAAGTCCTTTTAACAAGAAAATAGAAAAGGATAAAAAGAATAACAGTTATGATTAGATCACAGATTACAACATAAGCATAAACAGACTACAGCCACAAACATTTCATTAATATCATGAAGATTAAAATTATCAAGAAACTGTTCATATCAGCTTCAAATTATCTCCAATCGATTTCTATCAAGGACTTTTCTGGATTTTGGACCAAATATGGACCCCATATCCAATGCAAAACCTTCACATTTTTCCTAATTGAAGTGTTAAAATTCTCAAAGTAAAGGTAGCTAAACCCATTGTAAAAACAATCTGAATGTTGCTATTTAATATACAATTTGTTAGCAGTCACTTCAGGTTGTTGTTTTTTTGTTTCAGCAAAGTGAATGAGCTACATACTGTGGACAGTAAACATCATTTTCATGGTCACCCTTTATTCAAATTCGAAGCCATGGGTCCCATTCTCAAAGTTGTGAAATTTACTATCAAGGAAAATCATATCACCAGTAATATTTAAAGGATCGTTAAATGCTTTATTGTGTACTGGACAACAGTCATAACATGGCCATTATATAACTATGAGCTTTGGTCTTGTATCACATTTAAATTTTCACACCTGGCTATCACGTTGAATAAAGTTAAAAACCTAAAATGAAATGCACTATGTTAATTCATTTCTTCTATCAAACAATACTTATAAGATAAGACTTCTCATCTCCTGGTCAGTTAGACACTAAAGCTTCATTTATCCACCATACAAATGTACAGATGGTCCTAAGCAATATAGATGACATATTTGTAAGAATTTAAGATTGCTCATTTACTACAGTTTTATTATCATCATGATATTGGGATGGACACAAGATCAATGTACTCTGATTTATCTTATTTCAGAAATCTGATACTTCCCTGTTAGCAAAGTTCTTTTTTGCTGATGAAGAGCTCAACTTTGTGGCTGCTGAGTTGGACAGTTTTGATGGAAGGAAGGATCCAGAGAGATGTACAACCTTAGTGAACAAATTAAGAAATTGTCAGGACAAAGTCCTAGTTATAATACAAAAAATCATTGATGAAGCTGTAAGTAGTCAGAAGGCAAGCAGAGACTATCGAGTGAAATTTCCTGACGATGTACAACAGGAAAACCTGGCGGGCCAGCTTTGGTTTGGAGCTGAGGTATTGTTGTGGTTGTACTGTAAATGATGTGCACATACTTTATCATCTGTTTGTAAAAATTAAGAATATCATAGATAATTTGAGTTGGAAAAAAAAACGAAAAAAAGTGTTAAAGAGTGCAGTTTTGTTGTTCATTCAATTTTCATCACCATTATATATAATCCCTTAAAAATGTTCGGATAATTTTCTCAATAATTTCCTCAACCTTGATCATGGCTCAAATCAGGAAAGCTTTAAAGATATTTATGGTCATACAATATGTTTATGTGTGTTTAGAAAATGCTAAAATTGGAAACATTTCTGATAAGTCTTCTAATATATATATATATATAAATAACTTGCACTTTTATTTCTGAACCTTCATGATGCTTAATAAATTGCCTTGATACATTATTTATGACACCATAACAAGAGTGATTATGTGACGCCATAGTTCTTTGAAGTTTTTTTCAATATATTTCATCAGACACTGTGAATTCAACTTTGTATTTGATATAATCTCCTACTGATGACTACTAATAAATCTATTATTTTTCAGTCCATAAGTCTTCTTATCTGAGACATAACTTACATACCTTTGTAATTGCCAACTTTTACATGTTTTTCATACTAAAGATACCCTTAAAACTCTCCATAGATAGTAAGCAGACTTATGTCCCTTTTAATTGCATGGCACTTTCATACCTTCTGTTCATTCAGTGTCTGGCTGCTGGGTCAAGTATCATGAATCGAGAGGTAGAGAGTGCAAGTATGCGACCACTAGCAAGGGCTCTTACAAAAAATCTAGATAGTTTAAGGACGTTACTTCGGGAACAATGTCTACGCAACCTAAATTCTTACACTGAAAGGGTAAGTTTTATAAATTTATACAATTATGTTTAAGTCTTAATGTGTCTCAATCTTAAGGAAGGAATGATTGAGAGGGGATGTAAAACCAAAGGGGTTTTGTTTAGCTCATCTCCTTCAAAGTGCTCGTCAGCCATGATTTAGTACTACCATTAAACACTTGTACAAATTTCTGCAATATTAGTAAATTCTATGTTGTATTGTGAATGATGGAATTCTGTTATCATAGAAAAAAGAGCATGCTGAAGGGCCAAATGTGAGAAGTGGATCTAGATCTTCTATATAATTTCATAACTTGTGTCTTAAAAAGATGAAGGGACAGTTAATTCTGGTTTATTAAGCAAGTTATGTTTTTATTTAAATTGTAAGGATGTGAAGCAGATAGAATTTAGGATAAATGATGAAGTGATTCATAAATTATGGACAGCTTCTTTCAGTGAGAATACTGAATATTAACCATGTGTATACAAAGATTCATGGTCTTGGCTAATCAGTCTACTTGTTGAAGTTAATCAATAAAATGTGGATAATTTAATGATATTTATTATATTTAGTGTGATTTTCACCTTCTGTTGTAGATCAAAGAAGCATTGATTATCTTTGACAAATTATTTGCAGAATTTGAATTAAGGTGAGGTTTGTAATAAAATCAACACAGAATAATGTAAAGCTTCTTTCATTTCAAAAGTCACATTTGTATTTGAAGCATTGTCACATACATGTCTTTTGTCGATTTATTTTATATCTGATCTTAAAGAGCTTAAAACAAAAGTTATCTCTGATTTTCTGGTAAGGCTGCACAGTGGCAATACACTTGCCTTTAACCTAGGTGATCAGAGTTCATTTCCCTGATCTGACTTTTCATGTAAACTTCACTGTTAATATTCCTCAATTTTCAGATATGTGAGTGCTATGGTACCCGTGAAAAGTATGAATGATTATGACCTATTACAGGAAATTACAGTGCTGTTCTCGGAGACTGTTCAGAGGTAGGTCATGGAAACATTTCTGGTAGAGCATCACAAGATATCACTGTAAAAGTATATAATTTATATGATAAGATTTAAGTTCAATCAGATTTAAGTGCATTGTCACTTTTTGATCAATTTTATTAGTGCAATGATGAATTTGAGCATCCACAATGATTGCTGTATAAAGTTGTAATTATCACAATGATATTTTTTTGTCCAGTACTTAAGTGTGATGTTTACAGTCAGCAGATGTTCAATAAATTCTTTGATTGATATGCTTATTACCTGTACCTTTCTCCAAAATTTCTCAAGGTATTGTCCATGTTCAAAAATGTCATCTTATATACTTGGTGTTTTTGTTTTTGTATTTAGGGCATTAAAGCAGAAACTGTTGAGTCAGGAGACAATTGATGATTATGATCCAGCACTCATGTTTACCATTCCCAGATTAGCCATGATCAGGCATGTCTCTTATGATTTAAAATGTCAAATACTGTGGTTGTGGTTTGATAAGCAATCATATTGAACAGATTGCTTATACCCAACCCTTACTAGCATTGAATTGTTATTTTGAGGTTATAACTGGATTGAAATGTCAATCAAACTTGGATTAATACTCACTTGAGAAATTAATTGCTTTCAATAGTGTTAATAGCAGTATGAAAATTTTATTCTGTCCTGTCTCTTATATTTTGACTATAATTGGGTATCTCTTATTTGTTATCTTAAAATCAAACAACAACATCAGAAAATGGGAACAAGTTAAGGATGTCTTTTATCCTGATTAGTAGGAAAAGCAGCAAATATGTGTGTATTGAAGTTTTTTTTTTTAATATTGCAGTATGATTCAATACAGTCTCTTAGAATATTATTTTCAAGTTACAATACAGACATAATGTAGGGATATTTGTGTTAAATTTTACTCGTGTTCAAACACATGAACATGAAATATAGTTAGGGTTTTCATCATACATGTATATTCAAGTATTAAAGATTAAATTTTTTTTTTACAGTGGATTGCTGGTGTTCCCAGAAGGTCCCCTGAATCCAGATATGCAGTCATCCAGCATGTCGGAGATGTTCAGGCCATTTCAGACTCTTTTACTAAAAATTAGGTAATGAAAAAGTCAAAAAGCTCTGCTACATTTAAAATGATAGTTTTTTTTGTGTGGTGATGAGTGGAGATGAAGAAGTCCAAACACTGTTCAGGTGTTGTAGGTTTATTGAGATGTAGGCTATGGAAAGATGTAACACTCACATGCCTTCAGGAACCAATACATACTGGCTAGAAAGGTGGTCGTATTTATACCAGCCATGTTAATTAACAGATAAAGTACTAATACACATTAGCTAACAGGTAAACATGCATTGAATTATACATGAGCATTGACATGGTCTTGCGCACATAAATGGCAATAGATTCGTCTGTTTACAACAAGATAAGTATATACTCAACAAAAAACGAAAGGTTAAGATGTTTCCTTTGCGAATACCTGTAAATGAATGAAAACAAAATGACGTTTGTGAAATATTAGAAAATGGTAATGTTTTACATTACAAAATCCTAGGGCGTTACCAAAATCATTCAAGCATGAAAGTCTGTATTAGCGAAAGAGCTGCACGAGGTTTTCTGCAACTAACTTGTATCTTCACTTGAATTTCATAAACATTCAAACTGACAACTGTTCCTTAGGACTTAGAAATCACCGAATCTTGCTATCTATCAACATTATCGTTATGCCCTGGCTGTCACAAGTACAGAGAGAAAGGGCTGTAGGCATGATCCAGGCTGGGGAGTCTCGCCGCCGAGTTACACAGCATTTTGGTTGCAGTGTTCAGACAATTTACCAGTTGGTAAGTCGTTTAAACCAAACTGGGTCAATATCTGAGCGTCCCCGAAGGGGCCGACAGCGTAAAACGACTGCCAGGGATGACCGTCGTATACAATTGATACACTTGCGCAATCGATTCGTAACCGCAGTAGAGACTACAAGGACATTGTTTGGGCGTCGTGTGTCTCCCTAAACAGTCCGCAACAGGTTGAGGGCCTACCAATTGAAAGCGCGGCGTCCCTACACTGGATTTAATTTGTTGCGACGTCACCGTAATAATCGGCGTAACTGGACCCGTGTTCACAGTCGTTGGGCCTTACGACAATGGAACAATGTTCTGTTTTCAGATGAGTCCAGGTTTTGTCTGCAATACGGTAACGGAAGGTGCAGAGTGTGAAGGTGACAAGGGGAGTGTTTTGCAAACTGCTGCATCGCAGAACGGGACCGCTTTGGCGGTGGAAGTGTAATGGTTTGGGGTGGTATTTGTGGGTGGACTGGTACCAGGCTTGTTGTGTTAAATGGTAATTTAACTGGCATTCGATATCGGGATGAAATGTTAAGACCAGTGGTTCTGCCATTCTTAAGACGCCATGGCGTTGGCGCCATTTTTCAACAGGATAACGCACCAGCGCACACCAGTCGCGTCAGCAGAACTTTCTTGCAGCAAAATAACGTACAGGTATTAGATTGGCCATCTAAATCACCTGATTTGTCACCGATTGAGCATGTCTGGGACGTTCTTGGGTGACGCGTGAGAGAACGTGAAATTGACACCACCGTCCTTTACAGTCGGATAAAATCAACTGAACGCAAAGTTTTATAATGAACCATGACTGCAGTTTTATCAGAATTGATCAATTACTTTATTCGTACATGATTGGTAAGGATTTATGAAGGGATTAATTAATCACAGAATAAAGTAGTGTTACCTTTCTTTTTTTGTTTAGTATACACTGACCATCATATAGACTGCTTAGATAGGCCTCGGGTAATGACTTATATAATCAGGGAACGAACTAATACATGAACATGTGTAGTAGATCAGTAATAACAGAATGCCTCTGGCCACTGGTCAAAACATAATTGTCCACAGTAGATGTTGGTACTAAATTAACACAGGCAGATACATTATGATGAAATATCTGACTTATGTCTGGCACAATTTTGAATAATCTAATCTTACATATTAACTTTTTATAGTTCACCTTTTTTAAAATGACAGACACGTGAAGGCATGTAATTTATCGAAACAAATTCATTGCTATTTATATTTTGGTAGTTTAAAAGTAAAACATTTCAATTTAAAAAGCAGATACCATTTTAAAAATAACATGATTGGACTTTGATAAATATATACATAGATGAGGTTTTAAATGTTGGATGTAAAATTTGTGATCCACTTATGTCTTGTAGAGAACTGCTGTACACACTTTCCCCTCAAGAACTACTAGCTTTGGAAAAAGCTTTATGTAGTGCTGATGAGCCAGAAACATCAACAACTACTCTTACGAATCGGATCTCTCAAACTGATGCTGGATTTGAAGACAGTTTAGATCCAAGTGGGTCTGGTTTGTTTCCAGAAGGAAGTGTCAAATTAGAAGACTTGGGCAACATCCTGCACCACACACCTAACTCTGGAAGTCCTGTGACCCCAATTACTCCAGTTGTAGATCCTGGGACATCAGATTTCCCGGTGTTCCCATCAACATCACAATCTCTCGGGCAGTATAGCACACAAGAACAGGACGCATCCCCAACTGGGACATTGATAAGTTCTTTGGAAGAGAAAGATGAATCTCTAACTTCGAGTTTGAATAAATCTGAGAGTAGAGATTCTGGACTTCATAGTGAAAATGTCAGCACATCTGAAACTGTTGAAACAGGAGCTATGGTTAATATGAATGACACAAATTGTAGTGATCAAGCGTCGGGCTATGCTTCCTCAGATGGGCGAACTCGGGACATAACATCAACCAGCAGCTCTGGGGATGATACACAGAACATTTGTTTGAAAAGTTGTTGTTTTCCTGAAAATGATGTTTTTGTTTTATGTCGACAGATTTTAGATGAAATGATTGACCATGTGATTGAAGGACTGTCAGAGCATGGTCCCCAGTTTGAACGCCAGCATAGTTGTCCCTATAACCTGGATTTTGAAATTCCAAGAATATCTGTCATGGAACTACATCCTGAGAATCACTCGGGGTCCAAGGAAATGGATTTGGATAATGATCCAGATGATAGTTCTGATAGACAAAAAGTGTATGATTCAAACTGGGAAAAATGTGAAAGCCCAACAGATGATTCCAGTTCCTTTGGTATTACTGGGCCTTGTGATATAGACAGTGATGATAGATCATCCAGGATCTGTAATGCTAAAAATTGTGATAATAATTGTACACATGATAATGACACTTTGCTGTTTGCCAAATCCTGTGATATTCATGTTGCCTGTCCTAGCTGCAGTAAGAGTCGTGATACTGAAGAAAGCAACAGTGGGGACATAAGCAGCGGTGATTCCAGTGGGAGTAGTTCTTCCATGACTAATACCTGTAACTGTGATCAAAGTTCTGTTGACAGGGCAGACTCAGACTGCTCAGACAGTGTATGTAAATGTGGTGTTGGAACTGGAAGTAGTGCAAGGAAATGTGATATTTCAGTGAATGATACAGACAATAGTTGTTACTTTACACCTAGGACATCTTCTCAACATTCCACAGAAACGCCCTCAAGTTCTCAGTTTGGACACTCACCTAGTGAGGCTGGGAATTCTCTGATAAACAAAACATTGATTGATCGTCCAAGATCACCACTGCCAAGACCAAGTCGGTCATCTATCCACACAAAAATGGAAGTTGTGGTGGACAATGGTCCGAGGGATCAGACCACCTTGTCCTCAGGTAGCAATACACTTGAAATGCCCCGAATACAGAGACTGCGATACACTGATAGTGTCAGCTCCAGCTACTCAAGTTGCCTTAGTAACACTGAAAATGAGTGGGATAGCAGGTAATGTTTATCAAAGGGTTTGTCAATTTGGCCACAACAGGTGTCTACTGTTTTCCCCAACTAATTAGTAGCCTATAATCAAGAACACCTGTCTGTAACATGTTAGTCACTGTGACAAGCCAAAGTGATAACCATTATTCTTTTGAAATTGGATGCAAAGTTGAAAGTTTAAAATTACTAAATTTTCATATGGTGATGCAGTGTTATGTACAACCAAAAATTTCAAGTGTCAATATCTCTGTTTCTTCATACAGACCAAAGAAAAGTAAAGTTCAAACAACAAAGATAACTGTATGCATATGAAATTAGGCAATTGGTGCTTATCTGTATCTAATTGTTCTGACCTATTACCTTCTGTAGTGGAGGGAGCAGTGAGACGAGTTCCTACAACTCCGAATGTCCAGATGAGGAAGAGATAGCACTGGCCATTCAGGCAGCAGAGATTGCATCACGCACCGAAGCTCGCTCACGCTTTAGCAGTAGCAGGGATCTTATTCACAGACTTTTTGTCTGTATAGCTGGTATGTAGACATATTGTAAGGACAGATCTTAATCACAGACTTTGTCTGTACAGCTGGTTCATACACAAAAGGACCAGATCTTATTCACAGACAGATTGTCTGTATAGCTGGTATGTAGACATATTGTAAGGACAGATCTTCTTCACAGACTTTGTCTGTACAGCTGGTTCATACACAAAAGGACCAGATCTTATTCACAGACAGATTGTCTGTATAGCTGGTATGTAGACATATTGTAAGGACAGATCTTCTTCACAGACTTTGTCTGTACAGCTGGTTCATACACAAAAGGACCAGATCTTATTCACAGACAGATTGTCTGTACAGCAGGTTCATACATAAAAGGACCATATCTTATTCACAGACTGATTGTCTGTATAGCTGGTACATACACATATTTTATTATTATTATATTATTTACAAATTTGTAAATATGAGAAGATTTGATCATCCTTTCACTTCTTTCAGTTACATGTTTTTGTATTATTTTCACATTTTCAAAACTGAGTTCATAAGCATAGAATTGGGTGTTATTTATTACATAACCTTTTCAGTTATCTAGTTTTGTGTTAATATTATAAATAATAATTTTGAAAACTTTGAATCTTTGTAGGTAGCGTTCTGTTTCATAACGTAAACGGTACTGGTACAAAACACTGGGCCAAGTGTGTTACGACTGCCCTCTGAAAGTGAAAGTTGAATACTGTATGAAATTAACATGAAAACTGATGTTCAAATATTCAAATACTAAATCAAACAAAAATATGTATTTGAATAGTAATTTCTATCAAATTTACATCCCTGCTTAAAATGTTGTTAATCATCAGTCTCAGAATTTAAATATAGTATTCTAGCTAGAAACCTACCCCTGTCATTTCAGGTGTAGCAGACCAGCTACAAACAAACTATGCTGGAGACCTACGTCACATCCTCAAATGTGTGTTTGCAATGAACTCCTCAGAGCCACCCATAGTTGAGGAACATCAGGGCAAGTCCACAAGTCCTCAGATCATACACACTGGTGTCCAGAGTCCCCAAAGAGACCACCATCGTCAGAGTACACCCCACCGACACCGTCGCAGGACAAGAGTCAGAGGTAAATTGAAGGACTGGAAGTCAAATTAGAGTCAATATTTCTATTGTTCTTGGTAGCAATTCTTTCCATAAACTGGCAGTCTGAGGTACTATATATTATGTTATTTGTTATACAGAATGTCTATTGGTGAATAAAGAGGCAAAGCAAATAGGTTATCAATTAGTTTGTAGCTACCCTGGGCTGAAGGTTCACCTGTTGATGATTTGGTAAATTGTGCATCAGTTTTTAAGTTAAAGCATCTTAGACAAAAAAATTTGAAAGGTAGGGGAAGAAGGGGCCACATAAGGGGTAATAAAACTGAGTTACTTGCCTCTGTAACAAAAGGAAGGTTTTAACCTAGTATGATCTGAGGCATTCTTGGGCTGATAGAGGTTAGATCAGGACAACAATTATTTTTATGGAAAATGAAAAATTATCTTAGATTGTCATGTTGACTACATAATGTTGTTTCCATTTATTCATTATTATTATTTATTTTGTTTAAGACGCTATATAATCGAGTATTTACTTCTAAAGCTTTCATGCGAAATGCTTTTTCGCTAAATGCTTAATGCGAAATGTGAAAGGTAAAGGGCTTCATTGGAAAATGAAATGTGTTATTCTAAATGCTTTGTACTGAATGCGTTATGGTAAGAACTGAATTACTGTTTATGAAATAGTCCATAGTAATTCAAGATGCTGAATGCTTTGCACCTGCTCTAGGCCAACAGACAACCATGGAAGCTTCATGTATCTTTTCCACTGAGATTATCCCTACAAAGTGTTCATGACCAAAACAATTCACAAGCATTTCACCCTCAGACTTTTGCATTCATATCTTGTATAAAACAATTTATATTAAGTTTTTAGTATGTGATATAGATTTTCTATATATCATATAAAGGAAGGATGTTGTCCCTCATTTTGGTTTAGAGTAGGTCATGAATGTTTCTGTAGTTCAGGAACAATTTTGTGACAAGGTAGAAAAGGTGCACTTTTAGTTCTAATAGATTGCTGCTGAGTTTCACTTACTCAGCAACTCACCAACTGTATTGACTAGCTGAAACAGATTTGATATTCCAGAGTACAAAACATCAAGAGTGCAGCCATCTTTCAGTGTCATTGCTGTCTTAAGCTTTAGTCACAGGAGAGCTTTGATAACTGACAGATCTTTCTATTAGCTTATGGGTTTCATGAATATTTATGAAAAATGAAAGAGATTATCTCACAGGTTAGAAAGAAAGAGATAGATGTAGTGAAAATTTAAATTTAAACATATGCAGACAGAGATGTTACTTGTTCTTAGGTAAAAGAGCAAGGTTTGCAGACCTTTGTTAGTATCTGACATCATTTTGTTGTTACTTTGGACAGAACCTCCAAGCTGGGTCCCTGATGATCACACAACTATATGTACATCTTGTAAGACCCAATTTACATTTGTGCGCCGACGCCATCATTGCCGTAATTGTGGAAAAGTAAGTGCTGCTATCATAGTGTGATTACCTGGAGGTTGTTATCAGATATCAACCAATGCCTTAACATTCCATTATTAATCTCAACAACATGTCTAAACATTAACATTTAGTTATCTTAGTGTGTCTCTAAGACTGTAAACAGAAGTAACTCCAGGGAGGTAAACTTATACTCCTTCAATCTATCTTTGTGAATCTTGTGAGATAAGTTGACCCATGGTAATGTTCCAGGGAGGTAAACTTTATACTCCTTCAATCTATCTTTGTGAATCTTGTGAGATAAGTTGACCCATGGTAATGTTCCAGGGAGGTAAACTTTATACTCCTTCAATCTATCTTTGTGAATCTTGTGAGATAAGTTGACCCATGGTAATGTTCCAGGGAGGTAAACTTTATACTCCTTCAATCTATCTTTGTGAATCTTGTGAGATAAGTTGACCCATGGTAATGTTCCAGGGAGGTATGCTCTTTGTATTCATAACCTTAAATTCCTGATATTTGTTTGTAAAGGATATAAATTTAGTCAGGATAAAATACTGAAAAACTAATTTTTGTAGTCAATTTTTTCAGATTTTTTTATGGTGATTATATTGCTCTAAAATCTGATTGCTGTAATCGCAGTTTCTAGATGACATTTATTATTGTGGATGAACAAATTCATAATTGTGCTAATTTGCCAAAAATGGTTATGTGTTCAAATTTCATGACATCAAATGAAGTACTTTACAGTAGTTAAACAATCTTGATTATATTATGTATTATTTTTCTTTCATAATCTGGTAGATTATAATCAGGACAACATGTGGTTTACTGTATATTATAACTTTCTTTTTGTAGATATTTTGCAGTAGATGCTCTGCCAATGCTGTCCCCCTGCCTCATTATGGACAAATCAACCCAGTGAGAGTGTGTAACCGATGCTTCATGTTTCAAGTGACACCTTTTACAGTGTCCAATGAGTGATTCACTTTTACTAGTTCCAAGTAAATCAGAAGAGCTTCACTTTATCATTTTGGTGTCAAACTGCTTCTTTTACTCAAAATGAGTGAAAAAAAACCAATTCCAATTAAGAAATGATTTGTAGTATCCCTCATCTCACTCCCTAAAAATGATTGATACATGTAATAACTACATATTTACAACAAAATGTCGGTATTGAAGTGTTCATAAGACACTTCTTACTGACATGAATAAAGTCCCAATCTCTAGAAGTATTGTTATGATGTTTCATGTGTCATCGTACTGGTACTAACAAAGTACCCGCGGAAAGCAATAAATTATCTTTCCAGAATAATTGCACTAAAATGTTTATTTTTATTGTTTTATTTTATAAATAGGGGATCAATTTTCATATACGTGACTCATGTTGGGTTTTGAAGAAAAAAACCTGTTGGAAAGTTTTTATGATGAAACTTGACTTGAACATAAAAGAAATAATGTTACTCTAAACTGGGAAATATTTGGCATGGTAATCTTTTATCCAAGGAAACTTTTGCTGCGTTAAACTTGCAGCCTCAGATAAATGGTCATCATTAATTATGATAGCACCAAAAAGTGTACTGAAATTATCAAGTGATGCTGTGATTTTAAAGCTGATTTTCTGATTATTTTCTCTTCTTCTTCCAACATCTATGTGACTTTACCTTTCATTAGGTTTTGTCACGGTCGTAGTTGAAGATGTTCTGTTGACATTGTATCACTAGGTCACATTTGCATAAGCAGTTGAAACGGTTGGACCAGCTGAACCTGTAACAAAAAAGCTAGGTACAAATAAGAGCCGAATCTAAACTGCCGAAAATTTGGCACTCACATTTTAAGGTCTCAGTTGAACCTCTGCAAAACTAACTTGCTGAATACAATTCAGCATACAGCAGGGTTGGTGCACACACCTATTTTTTTGAAAGTTTTTCCCTTTTAAGTAGGGGTTAAAATAGATGAGATTTTAGTTTTGTTTATAGTTATTTATATTTTATAGAATATTCCAAAACTGTGCTTTTGAGCTTTACATAAATCAGTTTCAACATCTGATACATTTGCATTCATGTATCAAGTATCTGGGTCACCTAAACCGTTTCAACCAGGTTATGCAAAAGTGCATTAGAAATAGAGATCTTTATTTTCAAAAAATCATTCAAGTCTCTACAACTCCAATTAACTGGGATGGGAGTTTTTATTCAAGTAGAAAAGCCTGGAAATAAATATTGAGCTACAAAGAAAAAAAAGGATAAGAGATAGAAGAAATATTACCTGATGTGACTGGTTTGACTTTGTGTTATTGGTATTTTGTTTCTAGATTTTGAATTAGGTTGAGAACTTGAGTAATTAGGCTAGGAGTGATTGAAGTCTATCTTTTGTTGTTATGGTGTACATGATAAATTCCAATGCTTGTGTATTGTAGATATTTTATATTTTGGTTGTTTTGATGGTTTGTTTATGGTTATTCACATTTCAGCAAATAATCAATGAAAAACATAATAAATCATAATAGAATCATCTATATAGGAATCATCTAAATAAGAATTCTGTTTTTTTCAGGTATAATTATATTATGACTCTTATATATATGTCTTTTTCCTCTAATACAGAACTTTATTTTGAAACAGTATAACATTTTTTTTTTATCCAAGAAATGATAAATTTGTTATACAATAATTTAATTCTAGTAAGAATAGTGTATTGCAGGATTAATTTGGTAAGATGGGCATGCTAAAAATAAACATCACGATAACAAAATATTGTATAGTACTAATTATTCCTCTGCTTTTTAACAGATATTATCACATGCAAAAGCAAATTAAGATCCATAGGCCTATTCTTATTTCGTTAATGAACAACCATGCTTAAACCGATAAACAAAATCAGCCCTGCATACTTGAAATGACAAATATCCCAAGAGCCTCATTTTATTGTTTTATATTGAAATATGTCATTAATTATTTATTTTATTATGCCTATCCATGACATGTATAAGCTTACATGTATTAACTGATATAACAGGGACCAATAATGGAGATATGCTGATCTCTTTTCTATGTTCTGATATGTACTGGACCAATGTCGTGGAGAAATCAATACCTGTTCTGTGCTATTTTTGTGATGAAAGATAAAGCGACGTAAAGTCAATATTTCAAAACAAGTATAGCTCAAAAATATGATGCTGCTTAAAATGTCTGTAAGAAAATTTAAAATATGTACATACCTCATTTGGTATTAAGGTATTATACCTAGTATAAAGGGTGTTTATTTCTGTTGATTTATTGGTACTCTTAATCCAGGAATTTGTATTTCCACATGTTCGAGTTCTGGATTCATGATTTTCCTGTGGGACATTCTGAAGATTTGCCATATCTCTACGTAATGGGATTTGGAAATGTGTTCTTGAGTCCTTTGAAAAAATCCCATAAAAATGATTGAAAATGATTAGCGGTTTAGAATTAATACTTGTGAATTTTTGTGAGAGCTGATTTTTAAACAACATGCTAAACAACAAGAACGATATGTGTTGGAAATTTCCCACAAAAATGTATTATTTAAATTGTAATAGCAGCAGAAAAGAGAATTCTTTCCTCAAAGTTTAATTAATTATGTCAGGTACTTAGATTGATGATAAAATCATTTGAATCTGTATCAATATATAAGTTCTGTCTTTTTGTAATGTAGAGTTATCTGCTTTTGTGAATAGATATTGATTGTCACTTCATGAGAAAAGGATGTAATTTTCTCATAAAAACTAATTATGTAATAAGCAATACCTGCACACAAGGGCAAATAACTCTGCCATACATAAAGACAATTACATCAGTTACACAGATACATAGAAGATATACATGTATGACAATTATATTTGTGTTCTGTATATAATACATTTATTACCATAGGTATGTATTTTACTCAAAGATCTTAATTACTGGGTATACATTTACTTTATTTATTCCTTATATTTTGTTGCTAAACATCGGATACACAAAACCTGACTTCTATTGATTTTATAAACATGTTCAATATATATTTTCATCACAGGATGTATATTTCACTTGCATTTTTTTATAATCAAAGCAGGTTCAATCATAGTGCACATGTCTGTGATTACTGAATGATGTACCAAACATTTCAGTACAGAATTTATCAGGCTCAGAAAATGGAACCCGTTTCTACTGTATGCCATTGCAAAGTATTGGGTGTTTTATCAGTCATTCAGCTTTCTTTGTACTTAATTGTAAACCAGATCTTTAGGTGAAGAGAAAATAGTTTATATGAAAAAAGGCTCTGGTCAACAAGGAGTTAAGGAGATGAGATCTTTCAAGAGGATATTGGATTTTAGAAAAGTGTTTACAACTAAATTTGTCCTGAAATACTTTTGTTTTAATGATATCAAATTTCATTCATAGAAAGAGTAATTTCCTGAAAGACAGAATCCTGAATTAATAATGATTTATTGTATTATTATGAATAAGCATGTTTTGAATGTGCCCAACCAGGTAATCAATACATACCATCTAAGTCCCTTGTTTGTGTTGGGTTTTTAAATAAGCCTGATAAAAGCAACAGGTATACTTGATTCCCCCCCAAAAAACAAATAGGAAAATCATTTAAAATTTTGTAAAATCAGTTTGGCAATGGTAGTGATGTAGGGTTAGTGGAATGATGTATCTTTCCATACAGATCAGTAATGGTTAAAACAATCATACAGTCTAGTATTACATCTTAGTATGGTACATGTATTTATCATTCAGTGTGATATTTAATCTGATTGAGGTTGTTACTTGTGGTTATTGTTACATTGTTTTTGCTGTAGTTTGTCCTAGTTCACATTTATCAATATTCATTCAAACCTCATTACAAGTATTTTGTCAAACATTGCAGAGGAAAACTTTTATTTTTGGAATGATTCTCAGTTGTCCAGTGTAGATCTGGTTTAAAGTGTTGTAGTATCACAACCCTTTTTTACACAGTAGAGTGTCACAGTTATGGTGGATTTCTATTGCTTAGGCTATCCCCTACTGGTCATCAAAGTGCAAAGTGAAATTTTTAAAATTCATTGTCTTATAGGATTTTCTCGATCCAATTTTTATTAGATTGTTCTTTTTCTGAAATCTGTAACAATATTTTAATTTTTTATGATAAATGACTAGACTTAGAGACTGTGTGTGTTTAACACATACATGAGACTAAATTATATGCTGATATACGTCAAATATGATTCATCATTTTAAAATTTAATGAAAGTGGTATATTACAACAGACATAAAATTTACATATCATTTAGGACATGTAATCTTTTTAAAAACTGCAAGTGAAAATAAAGGGAAAGAATTCTAGTTGAAAAAGTGTACACCTAATTGTATGTCCTGATTTTTTTCACTAAATGATAATAAATGGATATCAAAATAGAGTTATTTTAGATAGGTTAAAACAGCTGTTACGAGTCATGAAATCCTTGTATTACACAAAATCCCTGCCTGTCACTTGTCAGTACAAGATTTTTGCCAATAATTTACTTTACTTCAGACCAAGTGATTAAATAACATTCTACACGTGTTCTTCAGCAACATGACCAATACATTTTAATAACATGTTGATAAAGCTTGTAACCTTTAAGGTTTCTTAAGCCTTATAAAATTATGTAGTTAATATATTTCTTCTAGGATGATTTGTTGTTCTGAAAATTACTAGAGCGACATTTAGGTAAGGTCACACAGTAGGATCACTAATAATAATATCTTTTGCATGATTTGAAATATAATGATAGAAGCAATATTCCATTACAAGTCCATCCAGTCATTTTAATAAAGGAGAAATATTCATGGAATATTAATGGTATTTTTTTTCTTTTTTAACAATTTGACCAAGTTAAACACATAAAATTTGAAATTTTGTGGATTTCACTTGAGTGGTCATGTCCTTAGGAAAAGTTGGGGTTAGGGGGGAATTTTTGAGTTAGATTTTATTTTTGTTTTTATTGAACAGTTGTGTTGCATATTAGATCCTTGAATATTTAAAATTGAGTTTGTAAAAGGTACTTGTTTTGGATTCTAGGAAACAAACCCTCATGCAATTAGTTGATGTACTTGAGAGGACTGTATACTTATATATCTATATTGATATGTAAATAAAGGAAATATATTATGGAAGAATTTTTTTGTTTTGTTCTATTCCGTGGATGTTGCAAAGTTGTTGCTCCATACACCCCAAAAGTGTTGAATGTTTACCAACATGTTGATAAATTCTTTTGTCAAACCCCAAACTGGTGAAAAAAAGAGATACATATATTATTAATCATTGTATATGGCTGGAAGGTTCCTTTGATAAAGCCTAACAAAGTTTGCAAAAAAAAAAATGACCTTGACCCATATTCAGTGTCACAGAGGTCAATTGTGTTAAAACCTTTAAATGACTTCTTCCAAAATACCAGAAGGTCTAGAATCATTATATTTTGCTGGAAGATGCCTTTGATAAAGCCCAACAAAGTTTGCAAATAGAAATTACCTTATCCCATATTCCAGGTCACAGAGGTCAAATATGGTAAAACCTTAAAATGACATCTCCCCAAATTCCAGAAGGCCTAGAATCATTATATTAGGCTACTATGTTCCTCTTATAGTGTCCTACAAAGTTTGCTAAAAGAAATCACTTTGACCAATCTTCAAGGTCACAGGGGTCAAATGTTTTAAAACATTTTAACAATTTCTTCTGAAATATCAAAAAGCCTAGAATCATTATATTTGGCCAGTATGTTCCTTTTATGAAGTCCAAGAAAGTTTGCAAAAAGAGATGACCTTGACCTATAGTCAAAGTCACAGGGGTCAAATGTGTTAAACCTTTAAATGACATTTTCTGATTATCCAAAACATCTAGGATAGTGATATTATTCTAAAATAGGTTCTCAATGATGCCCGGTAATATTTGAGATTGGTAATTACCTTGACCCATATTCAAGGTCAGTCAAATGTGTTAAACCTTTGAACAACTTCTGATTAACCTAAAGGCCTAGGATCATAATATTTGTCCAAAAGGTTCCCTTAATGGTGCCCACATAATGTGTGAAAAAGTAGCTTGACCATAATGATATTTAAGGTCATTGGGGTTAAAGTCCCAAAATCATTAACAACTTCTTATTGACCAAAGGCTTTTATATTTGGCCAGTAAAAGTTTCACAAAGGCTTATATACAAATATGTAGAACCTTCAAATGACTTATAAAAGGAATGTATTTAGCTGGGATTTTTCTTGGCATAATTTGGAATAAATTATAAAGACCTTTCACATTTATGTCACACTTTTCCAAAAAATAGATTAAGCCAAGCTAAGTAATGTTAAAAAGTACATGTTAGCCAATTACTTATGTTCTATTCACAGCATTAAAATACAGAAAACATGATCGGAAAAAGAATTGCAAGAGCTTCATTTTGATTTAAGATTCTTCATAATTATAATTCTAAGTTGATCCCATTTGCTATGAAGTGAACTGTTATCAGTATATCTCCAGTAACCAG